CTAGGTGCTCCAATTAAAATGATTCCTCTAAAATGCTTTGCCAAAAAGTCATATATTATCGAAAAATAACTAGACAGGAATTCCCAAAATCTTTCAATTTTAGTTATGAGAGAGTCTTTGTAAGGCCTTGACTAGGCTTTTAGACTTTAGTCCAGGTCAAAAATAAGAATAAGTTATAGTTGTTTAAAAATAAACCATATGTTCTGTATCCATGTAAAGATAATTTTCCAACATTGTTAACCTTTAACAAATAGCTACAACATCATTTAGCACTGTTCAAAGACTGTAAAAATATGTAATAAATAACACGAGTTTGTTTTGAGTATTCGACCTTTAGCTGAAACTTATATCATATTGGAATCTGAATCACTCTGCAGATCACACTTGTAATACAATATATCATTTGACTCTGTAGCATTGTCCTTGACATGGAACTCGTTTGTCACATCAAGGTCAAGAGAGGTTGCCAGCCTAGCTCCATCCGCCTTTCTTACGAAATGGATACTACAAGTCTCGTCATCATTTGTATCATTACAAGTGACATATTCATCATCATCGAAATTGTCACTAATTGAATTATCATTGCACATGACATATTCATCTTCTGCATCACCACTAATTAAATCATCAATGCAGTAATCTTCAAACATTTTATCATACTCATCATTATCAAGTTCACTGTCATATGAGCATAAAGTACACTCATCAAAGCAAGATTCAATACCCACAGTTTCACTGTGCAGTAACATACAATTTATTGACTCAATATCAATTATCAGCTCATTTGACTGTTCAATATCATTTTTCAATTTAATGTCATATTCTAAAGTCACGGACTCATAAATGTATATTGACGCATCAACATCAGTTACTTCATTGTCATTCACAGATACTTATTCGCGCATTGACTATGCATTTTCAAATTCAATATTCAAAGATTCAGTTTTGCATATACTAATACTTCTACAAAAACTAACAAAATATTTCCTTATTAAGAGAAGACTCTTCTTAGAAAGCCTTTAAATTGATTGATTTCTAAGTATAAATCTGTAAGGCAATTAAAACAAATTACTTAAAATGACTGAATTACAAATAAAATTATATGCACAATTTTCATTTAATATGAAAATAAAATAGAGATCTACACTCTTATTTATGGAAAACTAGCTATACTAGCCTTTATTTTGCAAATATTGATGCCATTTGATCATAAACTTTTGAATCCATCCCCAATATCATCCAAGAAAAGTGATAATCAAATGCATTGCAATTTAACAACATGTGTAATTCAAAGTAATTTAGATATTAAAAAATGACCCACACTGATCAAAATTAACTAAAGAAATACATGTGTATCTCCTTATACTGAAATATATTTGAAGATTTTTTATACCCTTCACTTGCACGGCCAAAGCTTCTGACTTTTAGGCTTTAGACTTAAGTTCAAGTCAAATTAAGATAAGTTATAGCTTTCTAAAGATATCTGAGAAATGCCAACATAGCTAACCTTTAACGAATAGCCAGCCAAAATCCAGGCTGCAACATCTAAGTCAGTCTTAAGGTATGCCAAAGTATAGGCAATAATCTCTTGCTGTAAGCTCAAATGATAGAAACGAGCACTATTAAAAGACTAAAAATAAGAAAACAAGTAATAAATAACTCTCTCAACTATCTGTTTTCCCATTATGCAGAGAAGAACCATCTCAAGTTTTCACACCCACTTCAAAGTTAACTGCATTCCAATCTGTTTGCGGCATTTATGGCCTTTAGCGTAGAATACCAAAACTGTTATTCAAACTTGTCTGGATATATTTGTGTCTAGCAACAAGCCCTTGTTTGATTGGATTATTCAACTTATTATTAAATCTTGCAAATACTAGCTATAATACTTCGGTAACAACTAGCAAAATATCATTATAACATTATCACTATAACGAGTAGACCTTTCCGAATAGCTTGCAATAGATCTCAATGTTTCAAATATCCAAAAGAAAATAGGAGCATTTATGGTCAAACACGCCCATGAACATGTAAAAAGTGTTCAGCTCATGGGACTATTTCTGGTCCAATAAAGTATAATATCTCTGACATGTTTCATTGGTAATCTACCAAACCAAAACGATATGTAGAACTTTTAAAGAGTCATGATTGATTAATTTCTAAAACAACATTAATAGACATAAATCTGTAAAGCAATAAAAAAAACTACAATAACTTCAAATGACTGAATTTCATTGACCTTTACATATATATTACCATTGTATAAAAAAATGCCGACCTAACATATCCAAATATGTAATCAACAGAGTAACCAACAAAACAATTAATATAACATCTGCAATCTGAACCTGCTCTGGGCATTTATGAAAAACCAAAAAACTGATTGTCTTTGAAAATAACTGCAACTGCGCAAAAGTGTATCTTCCCCTCACACAACAAATTTGGCAACCAGACCCATAGAAAAATTAATGCATTATATCATCGTGACGCCATCTCTTTGTGCTTCAAAGTTTATATATATAAATTGAATGATTGATTAAAATAAAACATTACGCAAATTTCAAAACCAAAATTGATGTATGCCCAGACAAAATCAAAAATCATATTACCCGCAATATCAGCAAATGTCTTAAGGGTTGATGTCTTAATGCAAATGTCTCTCAGGATGGTGCTTCACGGCACTCTTGTGGTAGTCAAAGATGATGGGGTCGAAGGCGTCTTGGGATAAATCATAGGCCTCAGGGTCACACGCGTGAATACCAGTTCCGCCATATCAACAAATGTCTGAAGGGGTGATGTCTTAATGCAAATGTCTCTCAGTATGGTGCTTCACTTCACTTTTGTGGTAGCCAGCGATGGGGTCGAAGATGTATCAGAATACATCGTAGGTCTCGAGGGTCACCGGCGTGAATACCAGTCCTAGAATCAAGGTTCTCCACTCCTGATCTTATACAATCAGCAAGTGTTCTGTTCAATTTTGTCTCCGAATTCTTGTATTTGTCCCATACCGCTGGGGAGATGTAGCAGCTGCTCTTTAAATGAGACGTGTAGTCCTTAGCAGCGCTCAGCTTAAAAGAGACGTGTAGTCCTTGGTAGCGCTCAGCTTGTCCCATAATTGATCAGCATGATACAGCCATAATTGTTAATAAAAGAATACAAATATCCTGTATATGAAAAGTGAGGCAGACGATTCCAGCTTGTAATTATCGTTAAAACAGCAAACTGTATGATAAACAGCAAATCCAAGGTTCTTTTTTTGGAGGGCCTCCAGTGTCGTCAAAAGTAGTTTGTTGTAGTTCTATTATTAATTGTCAATCCCAGAAGTCAACAGAATAATGTAGTATATGTTTTTGCTATTGCTTTAATGATATATATTTGTGAAATCTATACTATGCGTCTGAGGTGTTGAACCTAAGACGCATAGCAGAGAACTAAAGTAGAATATATTTAGACACACTTTTAGCCACTAAAGCAATGACGTAAGCAGACAGCATGTACATACATGGAAATACAAGTGCTATAAAGTGCTACAATAATAGACGATAAATATATATATATATATATAGTTTAGCATGATATGTACTTCTTTCTGTAACTGGAATACGATTCTAATATACAAGCAACACATACGTATTCCCGGGGAACCATAAATATTTTGTGTAGGGTGTGGACATTTTTCTTTTAATTTCTCTAAAATCAGATTATTTTCATAAAATCCATACAAAGTTGGGCCTAAGCCTCTATTTTCGTATTCTGCATGTTAAGATATGTATAATGTAAAACCTAAGAGATAAATTCAATGTCATCAGTTGAGAATAAGTATAGGTAAATGTGTGAATTCTGCTTGTTGTTGCACTATTTTTATAATAAACACGGTTCGATACGCAACACTGAATAGACTACAGTCATAGCTTAGTTGTAAAGAAAACAAAAGAAGTTGGGACGTGGTCATGCTTGATTATGTTTCTTTTATATATCACCGTTTGCATTCGTTGAAATCGGCCTGCATTGATTTCAAGAGGCGGTCGGTGTACAAGGTCATATGTTTGAGTTATTGGTTTAATGATAAATGTGACCCTTGAATGCGTTAGGCTTTATGTATGCGTGAAACAAATACTCCAATGGCCTAATCTCAATTTGCCTACAAACAATATAACATTGAAATGATAGTCATCTGCACATTAACTTCCGCACCACACGTCTAACTTCGACACAATTCAGTAAAGTATCCAGTATCGCTTAAATCGCTACATGCCAGTGTTAGTAGTGCTTACAAAATAGTGTTTCCCGTTGTGTTATTAATGATAAGCTCTTTCTGATGTCATTAGTCATCACCTCCATAGTAAATATCTGATGGAGCTTATTATCATCAACTTCCAAGTTGTTATACAGTTGGAGCAATTGACACCTTGAGAATCAAGATGACTAATTATCATAATTTTCAATCTTAAATGGGTTCTCATTTGCTTCTACCACCTTGATTATTCTTTGTAAAGATGATCAGTTTGGTGAAAAACTGCATGATTTTTAAAGAATTTCTGACCAGGGGAGAGCCGCCGTTCCCTCCGCCCCCCCCCCCTGGCTACGGGCTTGGTACAATACATTGTATGCACTGTATATTGGCGGAACATCTCAAGATAACCAAAATGTGCCATACAATGTGTAGATACACCTTAATATTTTACTTTTTTTTATAAAACTGACATCATGTGGCTATAGAACTCTGAAAAAGTAAATAGCAGATATTTTCATTCAGAAATCGCAGCCTCGACCTGTCGCACATGAGCCGACAATTCTCCGAACAGGCCAACTAGTCAATTAAGATATCTGAAGCAACGAGACAGTCAAGTTGTATTCATTTATGAAAACCGGGAATCATTTTGTATTGTTCGAAATGTTCAATACATCATGAATACACCCTCCTGATAATCCGAAAATGTATACAAGTTGGTCAACATCGCAACTGTGATCACCAAAGGAATTGCGAATAAAGTAGAACTATGGCGAAGTACAGCAGCCCCAGCAGCTATGTGCTCAACATTAGGATCAGTGAAGCATTGAGTAAGGGAGTTTTTGATCTAATTCAAGTGAATTCAAAAATCTATAACTACTGTATTAAAACGTATGTCGCAAAATGGTAAATGTCGAAGAGCTCTGAAGCTCATCATGAATCAATAAAATAAATTTTAGTATCAATAAAACGTAAAATTCAAAACATGAGTGTCGACACCCTCGATGTTATCGTGAATTGTATGTAATAACCGGTGATATAATCATAACTAATGATCAATACTAGTATTGAAAATACTAGTATCAGAAGTTATTTATTACTCCCAATAAAACGTAAAATTCAAAATATAAACGTCGACAATCCGGATGTTATCGTGAATTGCATCTAATATCCGTTGATATAATCACAATTACATAGCTTCAACATGTAAAAAACAAATGTGTTTTTCAAAATATTTGATCAGCTAAAACAGATAGAGTCTTGCTATATACAGTAAAACTTGAGTTAGTGAACACATCTCTTTAGTGAACACCTATCGACAGTGAACGTTTTTTCTCGGCAAAACCTTTTCCTCCCATCGACTCCCATGTTAAAGTACAATCCTAAAGTACAACACCTGCCTACTGTGAACAGTGAACACTAAATCTTAGCAAAGTCAGTCCGATTATCCTGTCTCTAGTGAACATTGAATCAGATATAAGATTTCTCGCGGATTTTCTGAATTGCCTTATCAGAGTTAAGCAGTTTATGTTTATATTACCTGCCAAAAATTATCAAAAGGTCAATTAGAGATCTTTATCTGACCTTCTGTTGAAACATTTGCGGTTGTCTCCAATTGGAATAAATTAGTTGATTATATCGGTATCAACGTTTCGTTGTGGTTAATTGGTTGTACCTGATTGTGTTTTGTTGGGTTGATTAAATCGATTAGTATTAAGTTGATACTGGTAGTGTAATGGTGGGCTAATGTGAGGTAGGTATAGGTTTTACCGAATTGTGTTGTGTCAAATTGAGAATCGGCTTTTGATGGTTGTTAGTGTGGTGATTTAGTATCGGGTTATGTTCATTGTGTCATGTTAATTTTATAATGGGTTGTGTTCTCTTGTGAATATGCCATGTTGATTGGGTAGCTGATTGTGTCTAGTAGGGTGAGGTATCTGATAGTGTCTGATTGTGTTATGTGATTGGCGTTGTCTCCAATTTGAGTAAGTTAGTTGTGTATATTGGTATTACAGTTTGATTGTGTTTTATTGCTTGTGCCTGATTTGGAAAATTGTGTTGTGTTACCTGAAAAATGGGTTATGTTTGCTTTTGTTGGTTTATCATTGGGTGTGCCAAATTGTGTGGTGATAATCACAGTTCGTTTTGTTTTCGTGCTTATTAGTTTAGTTGTGTTTTATTGGTTGTGCCTGATTGTGTTTTAATTGTTTAGTGTTGGATTGTACACAATCCGTTGTGTTTGCCTTTGTTCAGGTCAGGTTGCGCTTTGCTGGCTTTTGTGCTGGGTTATGCGCTATTGCGTTCTGTTTATGTTGTCACTGTGTTATTTTCTATTGTGTTTGGTTGATCAGGTTGCTGTGTACTATTGGCTTAAGATACAAATGGCCGGTTTAGGGTATTATGTTGTTGGTATATCAGTTGGTTGGTATATTCAGGGTAGAATCAAAGGGTATAATAATATGTTTGTACACATTATTAGTATGTTATAGGTTTGGTTCCTACATGTATTCATATATCATGCAATATCTTGTGTGAGGTATTCACCTGGTATGATGGGCGTTAGCCTTTCGTCGTTCTCTGATTCTCTGATGGAGGGTCTCATGTTGTTCAATGATTCCAAGAAAAACAATGCTGATTTATCTTTTTACATAATATAGTTTTTTTGTTGACTTTATATACAAAACAGGCGATATGTACTTTTTGCATAAATGATATATTTGTGTCACTTTCGATGATCAAATATGTTACTTTGCTTCCACCGAGTCGGTACTTTTTACTTATCTGATCTTGAATTATTACAAAAATATACAGCTGGAAAAACATGAATTTAAAGGTCCATGTGCAGTATAGCAAATGATTGAAGACGGTCATATCTTTCACCATTCGATAGAAATCAAGATAAGTAATTTCATTTTGAAATTGATTTAATAAATGACCCCTTGGGGATGAAAGGGTTAATATGTATTTTTGCATTCACCAATACCACAGTGAATACTACTTTTGAAGTTGTGATTCTGAAAGCTGACACTCTCAATGGTGTATTGAATTCTTACTGAAGATGAAGTCTTTTTTATCCTAGTTTTCACTACTATTAAACACGGATTGAGATGCGTTTATAATTACGTACTTCAAAAACTGCGAAACGCAAATTATCGAAATACGTATTCGTAAACTTAACGTGATACGGATGCGGATACGTTTTAGCTAACACGTTGTGCGAAACCTCTCCATTGATTTCAGAAGCTGCAGAGTGAGTTAGGAATAAATAGGGATGACAGCGCAACAGCGTTTAATTCAGCACACATTTCTAAGAGAACATTTACGCGAGCACGTAATATTTTGAGCCCCGTGGATTACTGACCAACTCTCAATTAACTTTTCGATGGACCTCGTTACAATTATTTTTAGCATACCTTTATAATCTCTCGGTCAAGTAAACACTAATCCACCGAGGACTATAATTCTACACGTTCACGCTCGTACAATTTTAAAAATGAATTTTGAAATCGTTAAAATTTATTTTTGCTAAAATAGTAAATTATGTCATTAACCAATTTTGTCATTATTTTAAATTGCAATGCGTTAGCTCTTCAAAAACTTTCATTGTGAATAAGTTGTTTACTTTTGATACAAAAAAGAAACTTATTGTTGCTCTGTTTTTTTTTGCTCTTTAAATGTTTCTAAAGTAATACGGTTACTATGGCGTTTGTTTACTTTTCATGTATTATTTTGTTCTGTATTATTTTGTTATCATTTCAATTATGTACTTAACAGCGATCTTTCATTTTGGTTACTTACTCAATAATAAAGAGAAACAATATGCAAAATAAAACGTACAATAGTTATTTGATCCATAAAGATTACTTAATGTTGACGCCATCCTGTACTTTATGAATGATGAAACATATTAAACGTTAACGAAAATTAACTGTGTAAAGAGATGACGTCATACACTATGATGAGTTAATGAATATTAAAGACTAATGCAAACTGATCAAGGAAATTATAACGTTGTAATTGAGACAGTGAAATTTCGTAGTAGAATTGTGACCCTTGAAAATACTGTACTCACAAAAACATTCAGGTATTTAAAATAAATGATTTGTAATGGTATATGCATGAGTGAATATACGCATAAAAATGTATCACTCTATTCAATGTGTATGACAGACATACACGATTAATGTCAATGAAGAACGACTAGATCAACCCACCCACCCAGCCATTCAAATGTGTGTCATTGTTTTACAATAAGCTTAATCGTTCCATTTATGTTTTATAAAAAATCTCTGACAGTGTGTAGTAATTATAATTCCTTACATCATTATTTTTAAAACCTTTATATCACTTTATAAGTAATCATAATTAAGATTTATCAAAATAATCAGCACGCAAAATCCAAAGATGACCGTGCGATGCCACCGGGCGCCGCAAGATAATCGTACGATGACCGGAGGGGCCACGGCCGGGTAGGTACCGATGAGTTTGGTTGAGAAAAAATCGCCAAGACATCGGCAACTTTTATCTCCGCGATAAAACTCTGCCGGCGCCCGTACGATGTCTAAAATCGGCCGATGATGGACGATCATCGCCCGGCGCCCGTATGATGCCCGGGCATTTTGAACAAAATACTCATCGGCCGGGCGCCGTAGTGAAAATCGGAGAATATTTGACCAAGGCATTATTTTATAAGTATCGCCATTTATCGCAACTTTCACGTCATCAAACTCTCAACTTATTTTTGTTTTTATTTAAGATGTACCTCGATCCCTTTGGGTCCTTATGGTGTTTATTTTGGCCTTGGTGCCAAAAGCTGAAAGCATCACCGTTGCAGAAAAACAAGCGATCAAGAAAGGCTTGCAAACTGGGAAAGAGATTTGGGGTTTAATAGCAGACCACAATATCATGAAACATTAACAAAAGTTGCGACAGAGATGAAAGGGTTTCTTGGCGCTTTGGGTCCATTCATTGGCCTTGTTATGACATTCGTGCCATCTGCAGAGTTGGAATTTATGAAAAATATGATGAAAGAAATTGACAACCACTTCGACCGAGTAGATTCCCGCTTTGATGATGTTGAACGATTAATCAAGTGGACTGAAACAGCGATTCAATTTGGGGAAATAGAAACAGCACTCGGTGCATTGGAGGAAGAATATCGTCTTTTTTATAAAAGTACTGCGTCATCAGGAAACAGGAAAGAGTTATTTATAAAGAGCTACGACAGCAACTATATAAGTTGCAGGCACAAAATTGTACCAGGCAATAGTTAACCCAGGAGGTACATTTAATGAGAATCTTGGACAGGCCGTTTAAATGAGGTACACAAAAAATGATCGCAAGAAGACAGAAGATTTTCTTCTTGGGATTATGGATATAATTTTCCAAGCGATTCGACTTGAAGCTGCTTATTACGAAATGAAATGAAATTTATGAAAAATATGATGAAAGAAATTGACAACCACTTCGACCGAGTAGATTCCCGCTTTGATGATGTTGAACGATTAATCAAGTGGACTGAAACAGCGATTCAATTTGGGGAAATAGAAACAGCACTCGGTGCATTGGAGGAAGAATATCGTCTTTTTTATAAAAGTACTGCGTCATCAGGAAACAGGAAAGAGTTATTTATAAAGAGCTACGACAGCAACTATATAAGTTGCAGGCACAAAATTGTACCAGGCAATAGTTAACCCAGGAGGTACATTTAATGAGAATCTTGGACAGGCCGTTTAAATGAGGTACACAAAAAATGATCGCAAGAAGACAGAAGATTTTCTTCTTGGGATTATGGATATAATTTTCCAAGCGATTCGACTTGAAGCTGCTTATTACGAAATGAATGCTTTTACAACCATAAAAGAAGAAAGGAAGAAAGAATGGGAAACACGAGTACAAAAAGTAAGAGAAAAACTAGAAGAGATTGACGTCGCTGTTATGAATAAGTACCATGCCCAGTCTAAAGAGGAAATATTAGATTATGCCAGGGATAATTCCGAAATGAGTAATGAAAAATTCAGCAGAGGGTTGTTCAGTTCACTTGAGAAAAAGTATTATTGGCGGGTGTGGTTTGTTTTAACTTACAATCCGATTACTGGTTCAGATAAGCATACAGTGAACGTATGTGGCGGACATGTATTGGAGAGGTTAAGCTAACGATGTTTTTCACAACGTAACCGTGAACGCAAAGTACAAAAATTAACAAAGGAATGTATCGAGCGCTCATAATTTTATGCGTGCTTAGTCTACTTCAGATACTCTTGCAGCTTCAGAGTTTCGGGTTTAGAACGGGAGATTTGAAATTTGACGTTGGGTCAACGGGAACCATTTTACTCGTGTCTATTGAACACTATGCTGTCAATTTTGATTTCGATGCACAGTTGAATTCTTGCTGAACACGATGATGTATGTCATGCATGATTTAGCGCCAAAAATCTTACGAAACGAGCTCGTTTAAAATATGTATTAGAAAACCAGCTATAAAACCGCATCAATAACATACTATAGAATCATTACACGCTCACTGGCATGTAGCGGCCCTGATATCGATAAATTCTACACGCAATATAACCCGATTTTAGATGCTTGGTTAAAACTTTACACGAAAAAGCCTCGATATCCGGGCATTTACTCTTACACTGAACTGAAAATAGCATCGTCTAAACGTGTATGTCTTGGCTTCCGGGAAAGTTTATCAACATTTATACTCAATTGAAAGAGCAGTCGTGCTTATATCGTGTACCAGTTTGATTGTTTTATATGTGTGTGTATTTATAATATGATAGCCTAGTAATACCGTGTCGTTAGAACAAGTGCTAGATATCGAACTGATGACCTGAAATTAGATTATTGGACTGATCGCGCATCTGATATTAGATGATTAATTTGCATTGAATCTGATATTAACTTGCAACCCAATACCTCAGTAAATACCATGACTTTACATTAGAATGATAACACGGCCTCATATTCTAATTCATTATACGTCCATTGCAGGCCAAAAATGTTTCAATGTGGATATTGTAATGCACACGAGAATACATTCGATTCGTATATATTGATCATACATCAATTGAACATGGAGATTTTCCTGTACACTTTTCCCAAACATGTGGAATAGACTAGATGCGAGTAGAAATTATCTTGATTTATCCTATGCCAAGTAGGGTTTTAGGGAGATAAGTTGGTAAGATATATCCCGTATCCTGATTTTGAGGTTTCCATATCAAGAACCTCCATATCTCCCGCTTCGGTGCATATCTTCCCGCTTCGGGGCGTATCTTCCCGCTTCAAAAAAAGTGGAAATGCAATAAAATGACTTTGCATATGAATGATTTGTTTATTTTTTACACCTTGTACTACTGAAAACTCTACTTGGTATAGGATAAAGCAGTTATGTACGGTCGGTTTGGATATTGGGTTCATCCCTCGTGAGATATGCACATCTACTTTCTGTCCCTACGGTCCCTCAGGTAGATATGCATATCTCCCTCTGGAAAAACCCCATATCCAAAACCTCCCAGTACATAACCCTTATTTATCCCATGGTTACAAGGATATATATCGAATATCACGTGAAGATATAATTGATACGTGGATGAAGATATCATATTTTAGCAAACAATTCCCAAATCATCGAATATCACTTTTGAAACCATCGAATATCACTTATTGAAAGGTGATATTCGATGGTTTCAAAAGTGATATTCGATGGTTTCAAAGGTGATATTCGATGGTTTTGATTTTTTCAATTTTTTTTATTAATTCAGCAAAACGATTGTTTATATATTTATTATATATTTTTATTTTTTGGGATCTTGTTTTTACGGCGTTCGCATTAAATACACACCACTCTGTTACGTCACGTATATGACGTTCGTTGAATTATCGCAATCAAAATGTCAGACGAAATGGAATTTTCCATTGCAATTTATCTGACTATTCAATGTTCACTGGATAATAATTCCCAATGGGATAAACGGACAATCCTATGGTTTTTCAAAAATATCACTTATATCCACTCATGGATATCAGTATCTTCACTCATTCGCTGCGCTCACTCGCGAAAATATCAATATCCACTCATGGATATAAGTGATATTTTTTCAGAGCCATAGGATATTCCTACATTATTCCATAGTTAGCATGATATCCATAGGATAACATGTCAAAATAAAAACGGTATTTTTGAAATCAGTGGTAAAATATGATATTTTTGGCAAATTTTCACTTAACCATAGCATACGGTGTTTTAGCCATGACATACGGCGCCGTATGCCATGGTTTATGGATTTTTGCTACTTCAGACTCAAAACGAGGCTAAGTGTCAATATCGCCGTATCGTTTGGAAAATACGTTTTAAATCACTTAATTCCCGACGATTCTGATGATGACTTTAACTATGGAATATAAAGAACATCCTATGATTTACTCGTGATATGATTTTAATCCACTCATGGATGTTGATATCTGCACTCTCTCGCTACGCTCACTCGTGCAGATATCATATCCATTCGTGGATAAAAATCATATCACTCATAAATCATAGGATATCCTCTATTTAAGATGTGATATTCGATAGTTTAAAAGTGATATTCGATGGTTTGTAAATTGTTTGCTAAAATATGATATCTTGATCCACATATCAAATATATCATCATGTGATATTCGATCTATATCCTCCTTGCAACCATGGGATAAAGCTTTACGTCCCGCTCCAAGCGGGCAGATATAGTATATCTGCCCGCTACGTCATAATCGCCGCTTGCATATTTGTTCATAATTTGTAACATTCGCGGAATGACTGTAAACGGCAATGGAGAAAACACAGACAATCAGGGTCTGTTTGATAGTTAAAAAAAGGAAAGAGCATCCACTTAATCAATAAAAAATTCGAGAAATAAATATGGGAATATTTGAGAGAACATGAAAATCCGCCCACGGCCAAGAAAACAAAACTGGACATGAATATTCTAAAATGTTTCCACGATTTAACAATGTGAACCAGATGACCAAGATTGGTATGGGATAAACATATTATCCTATAGTCGCGGTTCAGGATATTGGGATTATCCCTTGGCCAATATATAGGGGTTATGCAATTGGAGGTTTTGGATACAGGGAATATCCCGAGGGATATACAATATATCTTCCCGAGGGACCGAAGGGACCAAGGGAAGATATATTATATATCCCTCGGGATATTCCCTGTATCCAAAACCTCCAAGTGCATAACTGTTGTATATAGTTTACCATGATATGTACTTCTTTCTGTAACTGGAATACGATTCTAATATACAAGCAGCACATACGTATTCCCGGGGAACCATAAATATTTTGTGTAGGGTGTGGATATTTTTCTTTTCATTTCTCTAAAATCAGACTATTCTCATAAAATTCATACAAAGTTGGGCCTAAGCCTCTATTTTCGTATTCTGCATCTTAAGATATTTATAATGTAAAACCTAAGAGATAAATTCAATGTCTTCAGTTGAGAATAAGTGTAAGGTAAATGTGTGAATTCTGCTTGTTGTTGCACTATTTTTATAATAAACAAGGTTCGATACGCAACACTGAATAGACTGCAGTCATAGCTTAGTTGTAAAGAAAACAAAAGAAGTTGGGACGTGGTCATGCTTGAATACGATTTTAAATATATCGCCGTTTACATTTGTTGAAATCGGCCTGTATTAATTTCAACAGGTGATCGGTGTACAAGGGCATATATTTGAGTTATTGGTTTAACGATAAGTATGACCTATGAGTGGGTAATGTTTTACAAATGCATGAAACAAATACTCCAATGGCCTAATCTCAATTTTCCTGCATAAACTATTACATTGAAATGATGGTCATTTGCTCTCTAACTTCCGCACCGCATACGTAACTTCGTAACAATTCAATAAGCCAAGACAGGACCGCTATAATCGCTACATGCCAGTGACGCTATGGTGTAGTCTAAACAAACACTGGATTTGAACGGCTATTTATATGAGAAGGCTACATGAATTTGTATATGGTCGAGTGATACGTACAGGTTCAGTTTCGATTATATATGCAAAGCTTAACCTCTCCATTATTTCGACAAAACGGACGTAACATCGTAATCGCAAGCAAGGACAAAAAAGAAAATGCAATGGATCAGGCGAACGCAAAGAAAGAATTACAAAAGTTTACAGTTGATTTTGAAGATGTATACAACTTTGAAAGAGTGGTAGTCTACTATGGCAAGACAAGACTGTCCAGCGCCAACAATGCTGAAGAATTTTACTACAAAGCAGATAAGACAGGTTCCTGTAGCTTTGCTGTCGTTGATACGTTTGCAGATATAAATCTAGTGAGAACAGAGTAGCGTATCATGCATCAGAATTCGTAGAAATGTTCATGTTCGGTTAAGCAGCCTGGGAGAACACTTGCATAAACAAGGCGTTGACTTTTTCTATATTATGATACAAATAGCAAATAACATAATTTTTATTTAGCAACAGCAACATTTTGCATTTTTCTTATCAACCGTTGATAGTTGAATAAAAAATATTAGAGTTAGAATGTATCCCCATTTTATTGTGTGTATCACATATAACTACACTAACATTTAAAGCGTGAATTTGAACCATACCCATTTTAGAAGGTATCGTGTTTTAAATCTAAGACTTCAACTTAAACAGTGATTACTTACTGTTTAAAAACAATACCACTTGCTAAAGTATGTGCATCAATCCGTCATATATGTCGAGAGACATTGGTCCTAGGGACATTGGCAGAGTACGTGGTCCCAATTGGACTGATATCCTTAGGGATACAGGTCCCGGACCTAAATTCTTAGGGGTGTTGTTCCCAGACCTTTATTTCCAGGCAATAGTATCCATATACGAGCAAAAATATGTATTATTATTGCCTCGTATTTTAGAAAAACATTGACGTTTTATGTTTTCAATTTATATTATTTTATTCACTAGTTTTACTTTACGATAAAGTAAACAACCAAAATCTGAACGACAGAGTTTTTAGTTTTTTGCTGACTATCTTTAAGAAATGAAAATAGGTCACAAAATTCGGTTTTCATTTAATATGCTTCTCGAAAAATCTGGGACTGCCTTGTTTCTGCCTTGGTAGAATCACTAAAACCATGCCCGCATAAGGTTACCCCTGCGTCATCATTTAAAAGGCCTGCGGAAACCACAGCCATTCTGTAAACATGATGATTCAACACATATGCAACACGAAATATTCTTCAAAAACTATTCATCCACTGCTTTAATCGCGTGATAAAAGAGGTTTTGGATTTCAAAGTTACGTCCTCAGTTGTTTTATTGCAATTTGTAAAAAGCTTGTCATGCCGTTTTTTTAGCAAGAAAAAACAGAAATCATAGATTTCTTGCTTTATGCCCCTTTGATGTTCCTTAGTCATGAAATTTACCACCGGAAAACAAAGGAAATATTTATTTACTTAAAATTAGACTCACATTCACCAGTCTTTCTTGTGATACCATGATTCACCGTTTAAGTTAAATTTTATTACATGTTTTTGTTAATTCAGAGATATAGCTTGGGTTCCAATGATTTTTGCTCTTTCCCCGTGTAGTCCATGGTATGACTTCCGAATATGAATGATCCGTAGCACACTGTAGCGCAGCAACATCTGAAGCAATATTTATGAAGGTGTACATGTCTTGATTCTTTTAAAATACCATTTGCTGTAAAAACTTCCGGCTTTCGGGTCGAAAAATGTCTTTCATCACAAGGGGTCAAAAACGTAAATATTTTGATTCGAACTTTTATACATTTTATAAGACACAGACCGTTATTCTAAGCATACGAACAAAAATAAATTATCATAATTTAAAAATATACTATTTAGTTTTACCGTAGATGTCGGTGTTTAATTAATGCGTATTTTTTATTCATAAATTGAAGTTTATTTTGATCGATTGGATAGTTCTCATCCTAGCATGACATCTATACTTACCTGTGAAATTCAATGTACTTACTTACCTGTGCACATGTACTGTAAATGTTTCCGTCATGCGCGTTGTGCAATTTTAAAAATCACCCAACCCTCCCCACCCTTAATTTATTTAAGGAATACAACACAGGGGGCGGTTAATAGGTTTTAATTTTATTGTGTGTATCTTCGTATTAATTGTGTTTGCATTTATATTATAATTATTTAATTAATAAATCGTCTTTTAGCCCAGAACAAAGTTGTTGGTTATTTATAGAGAAAAGTAAATGTAATTATGCAAGTGTGATTTTGTTTCATTTTTCAAACAGAGACAAGCCGATTCAACAAAATTATGTGGAATATTTAGGTTATTTATGATTGGGAACATATTAGTTTTCTTACCATTTAAAACATGTTATTACCAGATTTTTCCATATAATCGCAAGGGGTCTAACAACAAATTATTGTTCATGTTTTACAAAACATAATACAATAACAAATAGGTACGATTTATATCTAATTAAATGTTACAGAGGTATTGGAATGTTCACATATTCCAAGGGCATGTCTAATAATCAATTAGAGTCATATGCAATCGAACGCCTTGAAATTCTTCCTCGACGTTACTTGTGGCTATCATCAAGTTTTCTAATGGCTGTTTGTTCTTTGACCTTACCGCTGGATACAATCAAATTTTAGGAAGATGATGATAACGATTTTTCTCAATTATTCATGAATTCGATCAAGTCTTGATGGCTGTTTTATAAGCAACTGAGCTATATCTAACTACGGGAAATAGAATTTAAGCTGTAGTCCCAATTAGTCAAGGAAGAGCAATAGGCCCGCCTTTATTGATAATTTTCACCGCTGAATAAAAGTCCATATCTCAAAACGTATTGAGACCCCTTTTGTGAAAAACTAGCATAATTGAAACATTTGTCATTCCAATATAAAAGTGATTCATTTGTAGCATTTATCCTATTAATACCTGAGAAACAATATAAAACGTCGATACACTGATTACATATTTTTGGTATTGATAAGAAAAAAAACTCAAACTTATAGCTTAGAAACCTAAATCATATATTTAAAATCATTTTGTATTATTTTCTGTTGCATTGTGTACTCCAAATTGTGAAAAATTGGGATTTTATTTTTTGGTGATTTTTTGACCTCTGTTAATGGCAGGCATAATTCAGCCTTTTTTATTAGGGGACATATGTGTGCTGCGCTATAGTGTGCTACCAACTCCTTTATTAGACGTCGTAGACATTTCATACCATGGACTAGTGGTCGATTCTTGGACTTGATGACTGGTGGGGGTCTTGATGCCTGTGGGCGTCTCCTCTCCATTTCCTTGCGATTTCTTGTCACTGAATGAATTTACTTGTTATTTTCATTCAGGCAGTTGTGAACAAAGTGAAGTTATAAATTATTCAATGGTTTGCAAAAAGTCAAGTATCACATATCGTAACGTTCATTTATTAAAACCTTGCCTTTAGGCGAGTGGGAGCAGGGTCAAATATGGAACTTTAATTAAGATTGACTGCAACCGCTCAAAACATGTTGTACTTTCATAATATTGATATGTAGATTCCAAATATGACAATGAAAAGTTTTTAAAAATGGCCCGTTACCATGGAAACGGATGCAAAGTGCCACGCCCACTTTTCATTAGCCATAAAGTATGATAAACACAATATTGGCCATAACTTTTTTAATTTTTAACTATTTTTAATGATATTGGTACCATATTGAAGGTAATAAAATATCCCGTCACCCTATGTATTATTTAGTCAGTTTCAATTGTTCACCCGGCAATTATGACATCATAATATCCTTAAATTCCCATTTTAAGGTATATTTAACGAATTGCTCCACTTGTTCTTGTTCAATGGGGAGCAAAGGTTGCCAAACTTATGGAGGGGAGTGTACTTGTATTGTATCGAATTGTATTGTATTGAATCGAAGCTAGTCAATGTACCCTATTTTTAGTGTTTGGATTAACCCTTGCACGACGATGGGCTCCATATGGAGCCCTATTATGTAATACCTTTAAGGACGATAGGCTCCTTTGGCACCATTGTTTTTATTTATATACATCAATGAAATGACGATAACTTCAGTTATATTCAGTATTTTTACACCAAATTTTTACAAGTTGTTCTATTGTGATAATCCTTACTAGAAATTGTATTTCAGTGATAAAATTCAAGGTATATGTCCCGGGGCGGAGGTAATTTACAGTTTTCCCCTAAAATCTATTCTTACTTATCAGTCACGAGGGCCAACATTTTCTCTTATATTCACGTCGGGAAAGGATTAAACGGACATACACGATGACACTATGAATATTTAATGATGACACGATAACAATGGTTAGTTATGTGCCATTCAAAAGTGAGAAAATATTATCAAGCTTGTGATTATTTGGAAGCAAATGGACACAATAAGACATTGTGACAGTAACAAGGAAACGTTTTCATATGTAAGACCATTTGTTATCTGAACGAACTCATTTTAATGAATTCTGAAAGCGAAAGGAAATCTTTGTTTTCTAGAAAAGGAGTGCAATTCTAATGTCAAGGTAATTGTCACCTACTTCAACAATTCATGATAAATCTGACACAGGATTTATATTAGCTAGCTATATTAAATACCGATATTTACATGATAGTAATGGTTTGTTCAATTTAGCTCATGCATTGATATGTTCACTCAGATAATGGTTCGCAAAAATGTATCACGCTATTTAGAGATGTAGAAACCTATCATCATTGTCAGTTTCCATTCCAATTGATATTTTTCATGATGTTTAATGATTTTCTCCTCGGAAATTTCTTGGACTAGTCATAAATGTATATTTTTTTCATTTATAAGCTAGTAATCAAAGGAACATCCAACTTTAATAATTTTAAACTAGTGAAAACTTATTGAGCTATTTTGAAGACAGTTGAACGGGTAATTTGTATTTCTAGCAACAAACAAAATGTCATTAATTACCTATGATTTGTTGCCAAATACTGTTCATTATCACTGTTCCGCAACAAGTTACTTATAGACGGAACGTCTATGTTACAAAATGGATTAACTTCCTGGATACGAGTTTTTTGTTTTCTCAGTTTAAACTTACGTATATTCCTAGTATGTCAAAATGAGAATGGTTCATTTTTCCTTTTATTTAGTTCCGTTTGAATTTTGGAAAATCCCCGATTGGTTGCCATTATAAATCGCTATCAATACGGCTTCACTAAAGTATCCTTTTCTCGAAAATTCCACTATTGAATTTTCTTATATTGTAGATTTCTATAGTTATTGTATTGATTTTTGATTTTTCAAAAACACCACTTCGTTAGATATCAATATTATATGTATTATTAATACTTAAGTCAAAGATGGTGCTATACAGTAGAGTGCGTCCCAAAAAACGCAACAAAGAAAAAAAATCACAAATCCAGTGATGATTTCATCAATTTCATTTAGTTTATCATGAAGCCACGTGTCTCCCATTTCCAATGATTTGTCATTTGTTCATATCTGATCATGGACCACTGAAAAATCATTGTTTTTTCGTACAAGGGTTAAAGGCCTTTGTGCCAAATTATGAAATATCAATCAACTGATCCTGATTATGCAATCAGGTAAATCATTATGTAATTGGTACTGGGGATTAAATTCTTGTCACAAGATTTTTACAACACCAGTTTTTGATTCAGATTTACTTAGAAAAAAGAAAGAATGAAAAGAAAATTTAGCTGAGTGTTCATCATTATACTTGTTGGTTCAGTTAACGAAACACATGGAAAAAGTAGTGGCATAAACAGTCGTCGTCTGTCATATTATGAAAGATTACTCATTAAAGATTACATTCCATGCCCTTTCACATGACCACTAATTCTCAACACACAGAGACTGGCTTGTGTTTCCATGTCGCCTGGGCATGTCGCACACCTCTTTGAATCATCTGGGGTTCTGGCGGAGAGCAGCAACCTCATTGGTGACTCTTTGTTAACTGTTGTAATGTCTAAATCTTAGTCCAGAACAGATTTTGGCACGTTGTGCAAAAGGAATGATTATCCAGTGGTCTGTGGTCGTATATGAATAATTGATACATACCATTGGAAAGAGGAGACATGTGGCTTCCTGGTAAACTAAATCAAATTGATGTAATCATCACTGGTTTTGTGATTTTACAATGTATTTGTTTGTTGCTTTTTGGGACGCACTGTATATATAGCATGTGCAATTGAACACCTAATGCCTTGGTCACATATGATCCGATCCATCGGCCGGCGCCCGGCCGATTAAGTGTTTTGTTCAACATTGTATTCAATTTTGAACAAAATACTCAATCGGCCGGGAGCGGTAGTGAAAATCTGAGCAAATGTGACCAAGGCATAACTGACTCCACTACGACTTCCAACCATGATAGGTGCTCGTTACTCTGATTGACTTATTGGCCACTCTGATTGACTTAGCTATTGGTAAGGACCTCTTGACCAATCAGATGCAAAAATCAATCTCACCAGCTGCCTGTAAAATTTTTGAACTGACGAAGGGTAAAGACAAGAGGGGGAGAAACCCCAGGGTTCAAAGATGACATACGCTTATAATGTAAATCTGTATTGAGATGACATCGTCGCTGATTGGTTTAGCGAGTCGATCGTTGATTGGTTTAAAACTAGGTCAATTTGAAAACTTTGAAAACCAATATGGAGGCTACGTTTTCGACAAAAGGAGGTGCGCGAAGGAGGAAATCGTTTGTCATCAATTGAATCATGGGGTTTTCCCTCCTCTTGGTAAAGACTGTCAATAGTTAGCTGCAATAGTATGCCGATTAACAATGGTATTGGGTGAGAGATATCAGATTATCGTCAAATCGAATTTTGATTGGATGCTGTATTTAATTTGGCATTAGATAAATCGCGACGTATGCAATGTGAATTGGGAGAAGGGATCGAAGGCTGTCGGACCAAGATACTCTGCAACTCCACAATGGACACCACACTCCTCTTCAATCTGCTGGTGTTCCTGTTGTCTATATATTTCGGTATTTCAATTAAAACGAAACAAGAAATTTACACCAAAGTCGCCAACTCGAAAAAAACAGGAAACATAACAAAGACTGTTAGCGGCAGCACTGTGTATGATTGCGCCAAACTTTGTTTATTAAACGAGGAGATTTGTAGTTCGTTCAATCTAGAAACAATTGAAGGCACCGATGTAAACGAATGCCAAATAAATGGAGCAGATGCCGGACCACTTGTTGCAAGCGCTCTCACTGATCATTTCTACGCTGAGCGAGGTGAGCTTTTTTACCATTATTATAATTCAACCAACCAACTTTTTTAATTTCAATTGATTTGATTATTTGATCTAAACTTCTTTGATAAGTGTTCAGGTTGTTTGTTTTTTCTTGATTTTTCTGTATCTTAGAGACAGGAAGTAAATATTTTAACGTACAAGTTAACAATACACCACAATTTACAATATAATCTGGAATTCGATTTTCTGATCAAGAAAGGACTATATACAGGGCGTATCAAAAAAACGCAACAAGTAGTTACCTCTTAATATCACAAAACTAGTAATGACTACATCAATTTCATTCAATGTACCATAAAGCCACGTCTCTCCTCTTTGCAATGATATGCCATTCATTCACATGTGGTAATGGTTGGGTGAGAAATCCTTCCATTCCCACAGTGGGTCAAAATCGGCTTTGGGCCAAGTTTTAGATATTGCAAATATCAGTGCAAGGGCTAAGTGCCAATGGCAAATCCCCTGACTTGAATTGTTGTGACTTTTTCTTTTGGAGCTATCTCAGGAGCATCTGTGCTCACAATTCCTCCACCAGATATTGCAAAACTTCGAGAAAGAATTGCCCATTGACTGCTTTTCTCTGCTTTAACCCACAGATGACTCAGGGCTGAACCATGCATGACGTGGACAGATGAGCGCATCTTTATGTGCAAGGAAGTGGTGGCAATTTGGAGGGGTAAAGGATGTATTCTTGCAAGAGTATGAGTATGAACACTTTACTGTCTGTGCCACACCTGTCACACCTTCTTCAAATAGCCCCTATACCCCTTGTACTGACTTTTGCAATTTTTTAAAACTTGGGTCCGAGCTGAATTTTGCCCAATATTGCAAAATTAATCATTATTCGGCCAGCCATGACTCCCTGTGAATGAATGATATTCCATTGCAAAGAGGAGTAATTTGGCTTTTTGCTACATTGAATGAAAAGGATGCAGTCAGCATTGGTTTTATGTTTTCGTCCAATATTGCATCGGGCTCCGTACACTGACTTTTGCGATGTTTAAAACTTGGTGCAAAGCTAATTTTGGCCCACTTTGCAAATGGAATGATTACTCGCCCAACCATGACCAGATATCAATGAATGATATATCATTGTAAAGAGGAGACACATGGCGTAATGGTGCATTGAATGAAATCGATGCGGTTATCACTGGTTTTGTGCTTTTCCGAGATAACAATCTGTTGCGTTTTTTTTGATACGCACTGTACATTTTCAGGGTGTTTCATATGTATGCACCCCACTCTAAACTCATGCATATAGCATTGCCAACATGACATGTTATATATCATCTTGTCCCTTATGAAAACTTAATTGCAAAGTTTCAGAATCCACTTGAAAAAGATACAATGTGTCAAAATATGCGGGTATGGGGTCATTTAGTCTATAAGCATTTTTATTATATCAAATTATAATTGCAATTTATGATCGAATGATATCGTCTATGCCTATGGGCCAGATGTACGTATCCATGAATGCAAAGTCAAGAATCAATACAGTAATGTGTATATCGTGCATGGGCAAATTAACGATGATTGATATTTTTGGAATTCCATGAATTCCATGAATTCTGCTATTCTATCACATCATGCCAGAAGAAGTGAGTAGCTCCCACAATTCTTTCATATTCTATATTGTATTCGGGGATTCCCCATTATATGACGTCCAATCAAATTGCAGGATGTGATCACGTGAACAATCATGAGCACGTGCTCATTCAGTGCTGCGCATACGCAAAGTAACATTTGAAATCGTGGAAATGGCGTTTATTTCAATTAACATCATTTCAACATCATCATTTCAAAACTACGGTAATACTATTGAAGTTACTCTATCCAAACTTGTAGAGAATACTCATAAAACAATGTACATAGTGAGATCCAAGTGAGGCCTGTTGATAAAATTGGTCATCGAACATGCCGAATACTACTCAGGCCCGTAGCCAGAGGGGGGGGGGGGGGCTGGGGGAGCGGAAGCCCCCCCCCCCCCGGCCAGAAATTCTTTCAAAATCATGCAGTTTTTCAGCATTCTGAGAATTTCTCGCATGATTTTTAGCCAAAATTGTGAAAAAGCTCCCCCCTGGAAAAAAGCTCCCCCTCCTGGTAAAAGCTGGCTACGGGCAAGCTACAGGTCATCATTGGGAAATCTCCCCCCCCCCTGACATCATGCGCCATGTGTGTTGATACCATGGCAACGACATTAAATATATACATAAATATTAAGTCCGTCGATAATTTCTAACTGGTTAATAAAACATGTCTCCGCGAACAGCTTTCAAAAGGGGTTGTTTGATATTCCATACTCATTAGAAACAACACGGTTTATAATGTCCATATGTTTTGTACCCTCCGATACATGCCCAACATTTCAATTTACAAATTTACATTAACAAATTTGAGAATTCGTATAAACAATAGTTTAATACTACATTGGATTAGTCATGTTAGTCTCATTTCTGGAAATAATTGTTTGAAATCAGTTATGTGCATTGATGAAATCTTAATGTTTGGAGGATACAAAGTATTGGACAGCAAAACCTAAATTCACCACAAAAATAATAATATTTTGTCTGATGTTTTCATTGTCTGTCATTTAAACACTTTCTGGCGAAATGTTAAGCAAATGATGCATCAGCAATGTTAATTCAACCAGTGTGTTGGAGGATACAAAATATAAGACAAATGGTATATGCATAGAAAGAGTATTTCATTGTATGGGTAACACAGATCTAACATCGCCCTTTTAAGAACTGATGTCAAACATATTTCTTATGTAGTTTGAAAAATATCAACGCAATCGATGCTCTCTTATATTAGATCCTCTCCCGCCACCTCGTGATCCTCTTCCTCGGCCCCAAGACCTGTTGTTGTTTATCGATGGTTCTGTTTGAGTCTGGATAATCTCATTCCCATCGGGTGTGCTCCTTTCATTTTTATCTTGTTGTTCAGGTGTTATTGTTTGTCTATTCCATTTCCCAGCCTCTGATTTCTTTCTGTCTGTCACTCCCTGTAAATGTATATTGGTGTCCTTTGGGCATGTTCCTAAGTAATTCGTTGGTGTTGAGTTCGATTAATCGTTCCTCGTGTGTCTTTGCACCATGCAGAAACACATTCTGGAACTTTACTTTATCTCTCAAGCGGTACTTGTTCCTTAGTGCTTTCACCTTTGTATCTGTTGATGTAACTTTCACCACACCAGCTGGTAGACTATCTTGTCTAGAGCGTTCTGCCATAACCAGTATCGAATGCTTTAATTCAAGCCATTCAGAAATCAGTGTCTCCTCAGTGTCAGTGTCTACCTTTCTTTTCACATTTTCTCCAGTTTGGAATGGAATGTTTCTTATGTTGATTGACCTCGTTGTAGGAACTCTGGTTGAGTAATGCGGCTTTTTCTGTTTCGATTTTATGTATACGTGCATCTAAGGGGCCCCATCTAATTTGGCTGTCTGTAAATAATAGAATAAATAAATTGAAACAATGTTAAATTCCTATCGGCCTCGGTAGTTCAACGCAACAACAATGCTTTATTTTGTAGGTTTGGCATATTTACAAAATATTATAAGAAAAAATGTATAAAATGTATCATTCATAAAAAATGAAATGGAAAAGAAAACAAAAAGTCTTTGTACAGGCATAACTGATCCAGAAATCTAAACAAACCTGATACTTGATGATTTAACAATATTTTAAAATGTGCACGATGTCATATGTTTTTCAGTAACTGCCCCTCCTGACTGTAGTGATGACACAAGCTTTAGTGGTGTTAAAACTATCCAACTACTGGGACAAGAACCTTTCAATGTGTACTGCAGTGGGGGATGTATCTCCATGGCTAGGCGATATGACGGGAGTGTAGATTTCTACCAAGGCTGGGTAGAGTATCAAAGAGGGTTCGGAAGTATTTTAGGAGAACATTTCATTGGCCTAGACAACCTCCATGGGTTATTAAGTCAAGGTAATTACAATCTCAGAATTGATCTTACAATGTGGCCCCCACAGAATGAAACACGCCATGCTGAATACTCAATATTTGATGTGAGTGATGAAAGTGATAACTACAGACTAACGATTGGGGGTTATAGTGGAGATGCAGGGGACTCTCTTGCTTTCCACAATGGTTTGGGATTTACCACAAAGGACCGTGATAATGATTTATCACCCATCAATTGTGCTATTGATAATAAAGGGGCTTGGTGGTATGGTTATTGCTATCGTTCAAATCTGTTTAGTTTGTATAGTACTAATGCGGTGTGCCCTGCTGTTGGTAAGTGTGTGATATGGTACAACTGGCCAAACACAATTGGCTCACCTAACAATCATTACTATTCTTTCAAAAAGGTTGACATGAAACTTTGTCCAAAATAAGAGTATCTCCCCGGGAGTATCTCTCTAATAAATTCACAATGTCACGCACGATATACCAACAGAGGACACTCGAATTAGAGCTAAGGGAATGGGAACATATTATAGTGATAAATGACTTCATTTTTGTGAAACTACCTTCAATTGTAATTTAAAAATTGAGAGGTTGTTTATCATTATCACTGAGAAAGACTTTGAATCTAGGAGTTTATTTAAAGCTTGAATGACAGAATGAATTCAAAGGAGCAACAAGGACTGTATCCAATGATCCTGGGCCTATCGTAAAATGAAAACATTGAATGTGCTACAGCATTTTCAATATGTATATATTTTCCATAAATGCAACTACAATTTGTGCACTGCCTTATATCAATCGATAATGGCAAATAGTTGGGCCATTTAGCTGTTAAATTGCACTTGCTATATAATACATATAGTTTTGATATCTAATGAAGTGGTGTTGAAAAGTGGCCCCGGTTTCATAATAGCATGCCTCAAAGATTTTTACATTTACGTTGAGCTCCATGTTAATTTATAAATCTTCAAAATACCCCCTGCATAACATTTCTAGAGCAATAAAGCCCATATTCCAAGTATGTTCCAAAAACATGATTATCTTTATAATCAGAAGGGTTAAATTTTTTCTTTTACCTAGTTCAAAAGATATTGGCGTTTGAATTTTGGAAAATCCGCATATTGGCTGCCATTATAAACCGATATCAATATGCCTTTACTTAAAGGGATCCACCACCTTACAAAACTTCTTAACGGAGAGGAATAAGGGAAAATGCTTGCCGGATTCTCAATCTGTGTATTTTTTAATGATTTTTCACCGTCTTAGAATTTCAATTTTTTCTTTTGAAAAAATGAGATTTGCATTGTTTTCCAATTAGAAAAATGAGTAAACATGAATAGCTCGAAATCTAACGGTGAGATTTTGTTTTAAAAAATCATGGATATCAAGGCTAAATGTAGCTATACAATAAACATAAAAAAGCAATGCTTGGACTCTTCATATTCACACAAAAAATTAATTAGTAAATGAGGTTTGAAATTTGTGAGAATAAGTTGTACGAGGTGCAATGCTCTACAAACACCAGACTACAGGGTGGATTAGGATCAATGACACACATAAAAATTAATTTAAAAATATTTCATGATAATTATCTCAAACAAAAGCAGTTAGCGAAGGATACATTTCATTACACTCAATAAATAGTTATCAGTTTTGACTATATATACATATCTCATGGGAATGTATTTCCATCTGCTCAAGATATCATATTTTAGCTCCGAAAATCACAATCGTTGGATAATACATTTGTCTCAGAATGATAGGCCACCCTGTAGCAATGTAGCTTTCACTTGAAGTGTACCCTTGAGAATAATGAACTTACTTTCAAATTGGGCTTGCTTTTGTGGTGTATGTGGCTTTTTAGCAAATCTTCCACGTTCATTTCTTTCCAGAACCATCTTGTTCACATGTAACACTAGGCTATACGCGCATGTATAGACAGATGACATAGATATACATATAAATTATATATTGCACCTGTATTTACTTACATGGGAATATTCCCTTTGGAAAAATGCAAATGCATGAACATATATTTTCATCTTATATATGACTTCAAGCTAACATATTATTTCATATTTATATTTTCATAGTTAGTCTAACATAAATAATAGATCCATGAGAACAATATTCTTTGTTTTCTTAAAAATTGATGGGTTTACTGTGAATTCAATAAATTACAATTTGCAAGGGGTAAGTATACTGTATGACCTTAGTTGCAAAGTACTGTTTATATATGCAGCTCAATAGCATAAAATATGTTGAATGAAGCATATGGTATGGATTAGTCGTGTGACACACAAACTGACCAATACATGAGGGTATTAGCTACTTTTCACAGAAACCAAAGGAGGACAGTGCTTTTATTTCAACTGGGAGCTTACCTCCACACAACTGATCATGTGACCATGGTGGTGTTAAGTATCCTTTTCTAAAAAAATCTACTATGGAATTTTCTAATATTGTAGATTCTGATAGTTTAATATATTGATTTAAAGAAAATCAAACAGACACATTTCTGAAAATTTGATGATTTAAAAAACAATCTTAATTAATCTGCAGTGATATTAAGATATACAAAGGCTTTTACTTGACAAAATGTCACCACCTAGTTGCTCAGACATGAACTTCTGAGAACTTGTAGATGATTTTGAAAAAATGGTCAATTTGAAGCAAAATGAAAAATACCTTGTTGATCTTGAGAAGGTCATTGAAGGTGAAATCTGAAAGCTAAAAGTGAAATCAGATTTGAATTTCTGAGAACTTGTAGATGATTTTGAAAAAAAATGGTCAGTTTGAAGCAAGTTGAAAAATACCTTTTGACCTTTTTGACCTTGAGAATGAAAGCTTGTAGATGATTTTAAAAAATATTGAAGACACTATGAGTCTAAACAGTATCTGTTAATTACAAATTGTGAGTTAACCATGGCCACCAACCGCCACCCACCAACCGCCATCACTAAAATCTGAGACTAACATGAAACATATTTTATGTTAGTCTCAGCTAAAATTAATGGAGCCATTATCAATATGTCACCACTTTTTGTGTGGTAGCATAAAAATTGTGTCATAAATTGTGACTTCATTACATTGAGAACTATGTAATATTTCACAATAAAGATTTTAAGTATCAGTTAAGCAGACGACTTTTCATTACAAGCTACACTCCTCTTCATAAATATGGCAACCGGGATATTTATATTGGAAAGCATATGAACACATCGGTTTGAATCTTAATTTCGTTCTTCAATAAGAAAATTGAAATATTTGACAAATTCGATGAATTCTGTTTAAATGCCAAACAAGAATAAGCTGGGGCTTCTTTTTGCCAAACTTATGGAGGGGGGTGTATTTAAAAGCAACAACTTTCATTGCTTAATCAAAAGTTTGTATATTCTTAGAATATGGCCAAGTGTAATATTCTAAACATAATAACAACCGAATTTGAAATATTTGTACTGAATTTATTAAATTATTGCTAATCTAGCTCAACGTGTCACCTTATGTATATTTGCATACAAAATAATTTATCTTTTAATGTTTATATATTTTCTACATGACCCTACTATGGTAAATGCACACATACTTTCTGCAAGTCCGTGTTTTAGTGGTCCTAAATATTCAAAGAACAACATTATATCAATATTTATTACAACTTGAATTCTTTTTTGATGGCACATATTGTATTTTATCCCACCCTACATGCTTTATATGATTGTATAATAGCATTGTATAACTGCAATATAAAACCAACACTCATCATATACAACTCTTACAAAGATATACAACTCCTGGGCAGCGTATACAACTCCTGGGCAGCGTATACAACGCTTCGACTTGATATACAACTGCTCAATTTAGATTTAGGGTGGGATAATAAGATCATATATAATAATGGTTGATTCTGTATATCGTTATACTCTCGTGAGTATATGATATATTCACTCAGTCACTCGAGAATATATCATATACTGTACAATGGGCTTTCAACAGCTCTTGAAAGCCCATGCATATACTCAATTGAGTATAAACACGATATACAGAATCAACCATTATATAACCTCATATTATGCCGAGAGAAAGCAATGGCAGATACTCGCAACTGCAATCCACCATACTTTGCATTTTACTCAATCTTTGGGACTACACAATTCATTGTATTTGTATGTACGTATATTATGAAATAAATAAATTAACAAGGCATTACATGCAAAATGTCACCACCACAAGTTACAGACACCAAGTGCAGTCAGCCAACCTCCATCACAAAAATGGAGACTATAAACAATATGTCACCACTTTTTGGTGGTGACATAGAAATTTATATACTGAAAAACTGGCTATTCTACTCCATTCACCAAAAATAGACGTTTTAACACACTTCCAAATGAAAAAAACAATTGTAGTTTGTTATAATACTTATTGATCTCAAAAGCAGCAATTTTAAAATACATGGATACTTGCTTTGCATCTCGTTGTACTTGCATGTAAGCTAATGATGAAATAAATCTAACTAATGCACAAGCATGAATAGATTTTGTATAAATGTTTCTATGACAAAATATTACGATTTTTCAAATATTTGTATGCCAAGTATGACATTGGTAAAGTCAGATACCGTTGTCACAAATGGCGGACATAACCGTCGCTTCAAATAGATTTTCATGAACTGTATGTTTAAGAGAACACCTAGACTAAATCCCTTTAGAACAACAATCAATCAAAGTGTCTTAATACTCATTGTACAGTCAATAATGTTCTACCATCGAAATAAAGTCTTTAATTTAACCATCAAAATGAGATACGGGACAATGGACACTGTAATTACCATATGCCGTTGTCTTTCTAAATTACTCGAATTCAGATTCCGATGTCATTAACGATATCGAAGACACTATATTGTGGCGATTCACGACCCAATTTGATCAAAATTGGAATTTCATATGAAACATCATCACAAGAGCTTAATAATACATGCACAGAATTAGCAATGATAAAATCCCATGAAATGAGGACCAAGTGATTAAACAGTTGAAGCAACGGTTATGTCCGCCATTTGTGACAACAGTATCTGACTTTACCGTTGTCAGGCTATTCCGGTGTGATAATGAGATGTCTATCATATTTGTATTGTAAATAATGAGATTTCTACAAATAGTTGCATGCCAAAATAATAACATTTCAACAAATAATTCCATGAGAATTGTTTTGTACATGTACATATTATAACCATGACCTTATTTACAGTACAATTTGACAAACAAAACGTTATTCCAAAAATTAGATTCACTGAATAATAATAATCTTATGCATACCTTGCCTTCCCATTCCTTCACTATGCAAACATGTTTTTGAAACATTTAATCAAGAATAAGATGTTGAAAAAGTTCCAAAATTCACATAAATTCAATATGTACAATTCACAATGTACAGAAAGACCTACAATGGATTCTAAAATCCCATCAACAATTTCTAAATACTGCAAATTTATGCCAAATAACAATATATATATAACAACAATTTAAAACATTTTGATTTTCCTTTACAAGCATCATCTTAACATCAGTTGTTATGGATAAAAGTATATAGTACAGGGTGCTTCAATAAATAACCCATAGCCCCTTATTTTCGGAAACAACATCCTAGAGTTCCCTCAACCCCCCTCCCATATTCTGAAACAACATCCTAGAGTTCTTTCAACCCCCATACCCTTGAAACAACCTCCTAGAGTTCCCTCATCCCCCCATTGCCTGGGATAAATAGTATAGAAATAGAGATATATAGATGAAGATATATAGGGAAATGCTGAATCTAGTAATGCATCTTTTGTAATAAAAGCTCTGCAGGACTGGACTAGAAGACATAAAACAAGCAAATGAGTCAAAATAAAATAAGTGAAAATAAAATGAGTGAAAATAAATGTTAATCCATGAGTCATGTCACTATTTGGGCCACATACTCCAGAATTGAATCAGCTTTAAAATGATGTATAGGCCTAGATTAAGGAAAGTTGTGGGTCATTATGGTCTGTACATGCAGAAGCTTAAAAATAATTGTAGATCATAGTGTTATATGGGCTTACATGGATTGTAAAGGGGGTATGGTCATCATGACGCACCCTGTAGTTATAACTTATTAGTGATTAAAAAAATAAATCTAATCTAAATTAAATTAATAATTGGAATTTTTCTATATAATAATATGGAAAAATATAGCAGTTAGGATATGATGTTATAGTATAATAAGATATAGTTGTAACATGTGAACTGACCCACCATATAGTTATGGTACAACTTTCATGCCTACCATATTCATATGACCAGCACTTATGGTCCCAATGTTCATTTGACGAGCACTTATGGTCCCAATGTTAAGGTAGTGTTGAGACTCAACTATATCATACCCACCCACCATGTTTTTATTATGAGCATTCTAGTCCCAATGTAAAGGAAAAGCTGGGTTTGAGATTCAAGTTTTGATATTATGTCCACCATTCTTATACTATGAACATTATGGTCCCAATGTAATGGGGTAATTGGTTCGAGATTCAACTATATATGCCCACAATATTTATATTATTTATATAATGAGCACACTGTAATGGAATGTTTGTTATAAATTAACTCTGGTTATATGCCAGGTTCCATATCTAGATGATGACTTGAGAGCACTATGGTATCCTTGTAGTACTAGTACTTGCTAATGTTGTAATGCTAGGCATACTGCTTGTAATATTGCCAATGCTAGGCTCTTTACAATACCAGAGTTCCTCCCCATGACTTAAAGGACTATGGTATCCTTGTAGTACTAGTACTTGCTAATGTTGTAATGCTAGGCATACTGCTTGTGATATTGCCAATGCTAGGCTCTTTACAATACCAGAGTTCCTCCCCATGACTTGAGAGCACTATGGTATACTTGTAGTACTAGTACTTGCTAATGTTGTAATGCTAGGCATACTGCTTGTAATATTGCCAATGCTAGGCTCTTTACAATACCAGAGTTCCTCCCCATGACTTAAAGGACTATGGTATCCTTGTAGTACTAGTACTTGCTAATGTTGTAATGCTAGGCATACTGCTTGTGATATTGCCAATGCTAGGCTCTTTACAATACCAGAGTTCCTCCCCATGACTTAAAGGACTATGGTATCCTTGTAGTACTAGTACTTGCTAATGTTGTAATGCTAGGCATACTGCTTGTGATATTGCCAATAATAGGCTCTTTACAATACCAGAGTTCCTCCCCATGGCTGCATGTGTCTCCTGATAATATTGACTGTATACTGAAGAAGATTCCACCAATAGACAGAAATATTCCAAGTAATATGAGAAACAGGGGGAGGATGTTCTTCCAATGGAGTAGCTTTTCTTCACGGACTTTCATGTAAAACAGTGCAGGAAAGATAAAAATCAAAGGCACGGCAGATATAGATCCCTGAAAAATTAAAATCAAATTTAATTTTGAATATATTTTTGTTCAACATTACCCTTAAATACTCATTACCTTACAGGTTTTCTGTGGACATATTTGAAAATCAATTTACTCCAAACATACGATTTTATGACCATGAGACACAAAAATTGTTTACACAAGAATTTTATTTTATGTTATCAAAATATAAAAAAACTGAATTATAAACTAACATATATGTACATCTTGTGAAGCATAACTGGTTTTATTCTCTTTAGACTGAGTAAAAGATTTTATACATTGATTTTTTTCTATTTGACTCAGAGTACAAACTTTTTTCACGCTGACACACTTTTTAAAGAAAAGTGTTAACCATGTATCTAATTTCAAATTTTGAGAATAAAAAATTTAGAAAAACAAAATATGTGTTTTTGTAGAAATGTGGTTCCTGAAAAGAGGGAGGTTGTTGGACACTGTTTATTAGTATGCTAAATCATTGTTTGGAATATCTGAGTTTATTTTCTAGTTAAAAAGAACAAAATGTGATGAGAGAGAAGTTGTTTATAGCAAGAAAATCCAATTTGCAATTTTGATCTGTAAACTTTCTCATGACAAAAATAAATCTGTTACATTTGCTTCTTTTCTCAAAAAATCAGGTGATTTCCATCAACACATTTTGTTTGTTTTCAGGTGTGTACTTGGTATCTATCCATTTTTTATTTGTTCTATCCAATATGTTTACATTCTGAGAATCCATTACTTACATTTATAGAGAGCACTATATGTAAACAGTCTGTTATTGTAGCAGCAGCGAATGCAACTCCAACTAGTACTATTGTCAAAATAGCATGTCGTATTGTAGACTCCTTGTACTTAGAAAAGAAGACATTTTCAATCACCTGAAACAATGAAACAACAGTGAGAATTAATTGAATCAAAAAAAAAATTGACTACTGTATGACTATATATGTTTGCTTAATTGGATGCTATGCGTTTTTGAATGTAGAGTCAATGTTGTGCCAAAGCACTGTATTGGGTACGTCAAGGCAACTATAAATGTGGGATAAACTCACCTCTCTTGTGCCAAAGCATTGTATTGGATAAGTTAATGCAACTATAAATGTGGGATAAACTCACCTCTCTTGTGACAAAGCATTGTATTGGATAAGTCAAGGCAACTATAAATGTGGGATAAACTCACCTCTCTTGTGACAAAGCATTCTATTGGATATGTCAAGGCAAATATAACTATGGGATAAACTCACCTCTCTCTAGACAAAGCATTCTATCGGATAAGTCAAGGCAACTATAACTGTGGGATAAACTCATCTCTCTTGTGACAAAGCATTGTATTGGATATGTCAAGGCAACTATAAATGTGGGATAAACTCACCTCTCTTGTGACAAAGCATTCTATTGGATATGTCAAGGCAACTATAACTGTGAAGACAACACGGAAAACATTTGCGAAGTCATCTTTGTAGCAATAGTTCTCAAGTAAATCACCTAAAATGCAAAAAATGATGATCTAAAATGAAGTTGAATGCTGAAAAAGTACTAAACAGAATAGAATAGACCTCTCAATCATATATTTCAGGGAACTATAAAACTTGCAAGAATAAATATATTTTCAAAGTGTGTTATTTCATCATTGTTTACCTTGAAGTAATTATTGCAATTTTAGAAAAATATCTGTTTCTAAAAGTTACTATTCTCGAAAACTTCCTTACTGAGTATGACCCATTTGTTTATTACCTTGTGTATATCCTTTGAATGTTGAATAACCACAGATTCCTGTTAGAATCAAACATAAGGCAGAGTATAAACAGCTAAGATGTGTCACTTTGTTCCAAGTGTTAAGTGTTCTCTCAGACAGCGACTCATAGACAAGAAATGCATTGTGATGGCATATGTAAGCTGAAGTAAAAATGCACATAGTTTATGTTAACTTAAATATATAGTATAAAACCTGTATATCTGAACACCTCACTAATCTGAACAACTCTCATATGAACACTTTTTGGTTCAATATTCTAATCTTTAAAAATAGTGAAATGTGAACACCTGTCAATCTAAAGACCTTTGAATGGTCCAAGTGGTGTACAGATAAGGCAGATTCTAGTGTACCCTTGAAATAAGCAATGTTTATTCGGTGGATCTTTTGGGTAGAGAATTAGTGAAGTCTGATTTTCAGTAAATCCTATATATATGAACACCCCTCTAATACAAACACATCCCCATGTGAACACTTTTTTCTCAATCCCAATTTTGTCATCTAACATTCATATTTTACATTCATAGACTACAACACTGGGATGAATCAATGAATTGAAATTTACTCATCTCCACCTACGCTTAGTTAAAACTATTTTAAAGATAGTGGTTCACTTTAAATTGTATTCACACAAAGCTAGGCAAGGTCCGATTCCAGCTAATCCGAATAGAGTATTCACATAATGAACAGTGTGTGAAATATCAATAACACATGCAAGGTCACTAGTTAAACAGTTGTCATGGTGATAAATGGATTTTTCACATTAGCTGCTTCATTCCACTCAGGCGTGTTGTTTCCAAACCTTTGCATGACCACGCATTGAGTCCAGGGGTTAAATCCTTTAATAACTCGCAGTCAAAAGGCCAAGGTTTTATTCTTATTTACATAATCATACTTAGCGGCAAATTGATAAAGTTTTGATTCATCAATTTACAATCCTGTCACATGACACGAAAAGGTTGTTCTAAAGTTGAAATCAATTTTGCAGCAAAAACTGATAAGTGCTGACTTTATATCTCAGATTACATAATAAAGTTATATTTAGCAATTTCAGTGAGTGACCTTAATATGGTAAGGTAGAAAGAATACAGTATAATCTAAATCGAGTAAAGCCATTTTATTACATCTTTAAAGAGCTGTTCCTCTTTTCAGGTTTTATTGAACTATCAAAAGGTTCCATTGAGCAGTTTTTACTCGAATTAGAAAACTGACATACCATGTGACATTATAGTAATCGCTACAACAAAGGACCCTTTACCAAAGTCCCAGTCACCCTCAACATCTGGTCTGAAACATAAATGATTATATGTTATTGTGATTATATTATATTTATAAATAAGAATTTAACAACTTTTGAACAACTGTGATGTACTCATACTCGCATGACATCTATATTATAGTTTTTTGATTTAATAATACACTTAATGTACCAACCTGTACACATCTGAGTAAAAACATGCTTCAGTCATACACGTTGAGCAATTTTAGAAATCACCCTAACCCCCCACTCTTAATTAATTTAAGGAATACCAAAGGGGTGAGTAATCATCTTAAATTTCCGATGTGTATCTTTGTATTAATGACTAGATGCCAGTCTGATCATGACAAAATGCCAGTCTAAAACTGACTAGATGCCAGTCTTACCATACTGCTTAAAATTAAAGAATAAAAACAAACTGACAACAAGCCTTTTTGGCAAAAAAATCAGGAAAATGACTGATTCCCTGGTGCTAGTTTAACTCCAAAGAATGCTATTTTACTTACATGCTATTTCCCATAAGGGCCAGCTTAATAATGATGAAGACTATCAGTGAAGAGATTAACACTATAGAGGCAAGACCCCACTGAAAAAAAACAAAGAAATATAAGGCATTAACATGCAAAATGTCACCACCTGCCATTTGTTACAGATGCCAGACACCGTACACCAACTGCCGAAAACTGTCAACAAAAAAACTGGAGACAATAACAATGTGTCACCACTTATTGTGGTGACATGATAATGGGCTATACAAAATCACTAGAAATACATAGAAATTGTAAGCTGACCTTGCTTAGAGCTGCTATGTTCTTGTAAAGGGAAAGAGGTAGCGTCACAAACAGAGTAGCCAGGAAAACTATGAAATGTCGGTTAGTCAGCACAGAGTTCTTGATTGCTTCTACAACAACAACAAAGACCAACATTTGGTTAAACATGTACAGTAAAACCTGTCTTAGTGAACACCTCTCTCGAGTGAACTGTCTCTAGTGGACATCCTTCCTCCACACATACTCTACAGACTTCTGTATAAATTGCCCCATCTGTAGTGAACACCTACTACAGTAAACACACACATTTTTGTGGCTTAATAAGTATTCGCTGTATAAAGTTTTAGTGCTAGCGCTAAACAAAATTTTTTGGAGTCCCTGGGACACAAACCTTTTTAAAATTGGAGTCCTGATCAGGTTTTTTTATATTTGACCCAAGTCATTCTTCAATTGTGAATCGCTGAGACATTTTTTGAGAAAGGACGATTCTCGGTTTGGAGAACAGTGTCCTTGGCTAATAATTTTTTTCATGAAAAATATAGAAATATTACCCAAATTAAACTATGAATATTCAAAAGAGGACATTCAAATCTACAAGATGTAAAAATAACAAATTGGTCTGAAGTAGGGATAACGCTCAATTAGACCGATTCAATAAAATACAAGTCTCGATTTGGGGAAAGAAGTTCATCAGTGTACTGCGCTAATATTTTTTTGCGAAAAATCTAGAAATATTACCCAAATTAAATTATGACTATTCAAAAGAAAACATTCAAATTTATATTATGTAAAAAAATCAAATTTGTCCGAAGCAGGGATAATGCTCATTTAGATTGATGAACTTCGTTCTCCAAACCGAGAATCGTCCTTTGTCTGTTAATACAGGAAAAACCTATGCACATTGAACATCTATGGAGCTACAGTGGTCACTGTAGGTAGGTGTTCATACAGAAAGACATTTAATACAGGTGAAGACACGGGTGTTCTTCAGGCAAGATATCTCTTCAGAGGATATTTCTTCAGAGAGCACATCTTTTAAGAGAGGATTTCTCTTTAGAGGATATCTTTTCAGAGAGCACATCTTTAAAGAGAGGATTTCTCTTCAGGAAGAATATCTTTTCAGAGAGGATATCTCTTAAGAGAGGATCTCTTTTCATAGGGGATATTTTTTTTCATAGAGGATTACTCTAAAGAGAGTTCTCTTCAGAGGATATCTCTTTAGAGAGGATTTCTCTTAAGAGAGGATCTATTTTCATAGGGGATATCTCTTCAGAAAGGATGTCCCTTTGGAAAAGATATCTGTTCAAATTAACCTATTTTATCACTAACTGTTTAATTTTTAGGTACACATACTTTCAAATTGGTGGCATTGAACAGTGACATTCTATTTAATTTGGTAATTTTTTGAAAAATATACCAAATTACAATTGGAGATAATGGGTTGTCAATGAAATTCAATGATCGAGTACAGAACTGAGAAAATGCCCAAAGTGAAACCAACATTGATATATATATTGGTATTAATAATAAAATTATGCTCAAAAATTACATATTAATTATTGAACTTGAACATATTATATCATTGATGTGCATTGTACATGATAAATATGGGCCCAAAAGCAGTACCGAATGCCACACGTATAAAACATGACAACAAATAATATGATAATCCTATTTTTATATGTCTAGAACAAAATATTTTTCTAAGAATAAATTAGCTCACTTTTGAAGATAAAATTATTTGCATAAGAGCGACATTCTTTGATTTCATTATTTATAATGATTGTCTTACGACAGGAATGTAAGTTCTTGTGTCTATTTCTATGATTGGCTGCCAAACTCTTTGAAGTTTAGACTCAATTTTATCATTCTCAATTCTTATAAAAGCATATTGTTTGTGTTTATTCCATGTGCTTAAAATACAATACATTGAGATATACAGGCCAGGATTTATCAGGGGGGAGGCGGTTTTGCCAAGGGGGGAGCTTTTTGTAAATTTTTGGCAAAAAATAATGCGAAGAGTGCCCAGAATGATGAAAAACTGCATGATTTTGAAAGAATTTCTGGCCAGGGGGGAGCAGCTTCTCCCTCCGCTGGTTACAGGCCTGATATACTATAGTTATTTTGAAAGATGTAAAGATGACAGTACCTCCTCCTGCCCTCTTGACAAGCTTTGTAATTGTATCCCCTATGATGACGTTGTAGGCTACCATTGCTAAAAGACAATCAAATAGAAATAGAGTACAGGGGGCACTGCTGAGAGTCAATCAAATAGAAATAGAGTACAGGGGGCACTGCTGAGAGTCAATCAAATAGAAATAGAGTACAGGGGGCCTTATTGGGGTTGGACACTCCTTATGTCAAATAAGGTATTTCTATAATTATACAGGTAATTTGCAATTAAATGTGGGATACAACAGGGGTAGTTCTTTGAACAAACTCTAATCATTTTTCCTTCATGTGAATGAGACTTCATCAATATAAAATATATTTAACAATAATTTCAGATAATACCAACACTTTGCTTTTAATTTGGAAATAAATAATAGTGTGTGTCTATTGTGTGCTGTTAATTTTCAGATAAAATTAATTTGCACATATTAAGATTGTGAAGTACACACTCCTAAATTATAAAATGCTAAGTATTCGGCATGCGTTCACATTACCTTTAACCCACTCCCAATTATAACTGCATCACAGTTACTAGGCTACCATTACCATGGTTACCAACCACCAAATTAAGGAAAGAACAGATTCTGATGACATAGGAAGAACTGTAAGATGGAAAAATGGAAAATATTAGTTATTGCAATTAATGATGAGTCATCATTTGATGTGTAGGATTTTTGATGTGTGTTATTTCAAATATATATTTGATTTAATGTTATTCATATCTAGATGTTATATGTACAACTGCACTACAACTAAACTATGCAGCTGCTACACAGTGCAGCAACACAGTACAGCTACACAGTACAGCTAGATTATGCTGATGCAAGATATTGAAGTGGAAAGAATTTTGAGAAACCAAACAAAAAACACTCAGATCTTGTCTGTCAAGCACGATCATTCAAATTATTAAAAAGTAATTTACTTTTTTCAGAATTATTTAATATCAAAAACAGAAAACTCAGATAACAATTCATGAATTTCCAAAATCTGATATGCAAAAGATACTCTGTTTGTCTAATTGTTAACATCTAACAGTCATTCAATAAACCATTAATAAGGAACAGACAATAAAACAAATAACACAATCATTACTAATAAGCCAAATGGGTTGCTCATGAACACCAAATGCAAGGTATAGTCTTATAAGTTGGAGAACCAAAAAGATTCCCAATATTTTTAACGTAAAATATATTCAGTCTCAAATAATACGAGACAGACAAAATCCAGCTTTATAGTCCATAAGGGTCAAAAGGTCAACATCCATTCGCAGATGCCATATTCCATGAAGCACATATTCATTAACTTTATAAGAAGGAAGCTGATATGGCTGATAGAAATGTTTCATAAGTTTAAAAAGCACACCAAATAAAGCAAGGCTTATTGTTAGCATTTAGTTTAGTAGATAGTAAGTTTAATCTTGGTGGTTGTTGTATTGCCCTCCCCCTTTCTATTAGTCACACCAAAGTCTTATGTCAACATGTTAATCCAACATATCTATAAGTGGAACACTTCCCATTGGCTCGATGTTAAATGATGTTAAATGAAAAGTAAGTACTTTTCAAGGGGCCAAAGGTGTTCCACTTATGCAGGTTTTAAAGTTAATCTGTTTATTAGACATCCAAGCGCACAAGCAACATTTATTGCAAACAAACTAGCTCAACCTGTAACTCTTACTCTTTTTTCACCAACAAAAGTTTGTCATAAAACAAAATGTTGGTAAAAATCAAAGAACTAGAAAAATTATGCAAGCAAGTTGTTCACTCTTAAATATCCTATGAGTCTAATTAATGAGTTACAGGTTGCCAAGTTTTATTCTGAGTTAAACATTTTTAGAAGTTGAGACATTAAAACTCACAGAAGAAAGGCTGAGAAAACTGAGTGGCAGAGACGACGCCATATCCTATGTTTCCAAAGGTCTCCTTTGCTAAACCCTGCAATTTGGGTGAACATGTCAATAGTTTGTGTTCAGAATAAACCCTGCAATTTGGGTGAATGTCAATAGTTTGTGTTCAGAATAAACCCTGCAATTTGGGTGAATATGTCAAGAGTTTATGTTCAGAATAAACCCTGCAATTTGGGTGAATATTTCATGATAATTTATGTTCACAATAAACCCCGCAATTAGGGTGAATATGTCAATAGTTTGTGTTCAGAATAAACCCTGCAATTTGGGTGTGAATATGTCAATAGTTTTTGTTCAGAATAAACCCCGCAATTAGGGTGAATATGTCAATAGTTTGTGTTCAGAATAAACCCTGCAATTTGGGTGTGAATATGTCAATAGTTTTTGTTCAGAATAAAACCTGCAATTAGGGTGAATATGTCAATTGATTATGTTCAGAATAATCCCTGCAATTAGGGTGAATATGTCAATTGTTTGTGTTCAGAATAAGCCCTGCAATTTGGGTGAATATGTCAATTGATTATGTTCAGAATAATCCCTGCAATTAGGGTGAATATGTCAATAGTTTATTTTCAGAATAAACCCTGCAATTAGGGTGAATATGACAATTGTTTATGTTCAGAATAAAACCTGCAATTTGGGTGAATATGTCAATAGTTTATATTAAGAATAAACCCTGCAATTAGGGTGAATATGTAAATAGTTTATGTTCAGAATAAACCCTGCAACTAGGGTGAATATGTAAATAGTTATATTCAGAATAAACCCTGCAACTAGGGTGAATATGTCAATAGTGATTGAGAAGATGTTTGATTCCTGATACTGGACATATCCTTACAGTAATACAATACATGTACCTTGTAATTACTGCCAAGTAAATAATCAGTGATTTACTGAATTTCTCGGGCAGCCAAGAGTCTGTATTCTAAGAGAACTTATTCAATGTTCTTTATTCTTTTATACTCTACATGTACATGTATGTTGTTTTAAATTTTTCCAGAAGAAAATAAGATGATTTGGATGTTGTAGCATTATATACAGTTATATGTAATACAGTGACATCAGCATGTAACACAGGATCTTTATCTCTTAGCATGAAAATATAGGATATATTATCATTTACATGGTCAGTTAGATTAAAGGGTAATATTGGGTTAAGATGCTTATTGTTTTTTATGTAAAGATGGCACTGTTTGTTGGGCTCACATGGTAAAAAAAAGCTATTACCAAAATTAGGTAAAAGGAGGAGCTGGAACCAATGAAGTAAATTACGTGGATATTATGGATATGATAAATTTATTGTTCTATTGCCCAAAAAATTGCAGATAGATATATAAGGTGATGATATTATGGGCTCACCATGTGAGTAATAAAAAAACTCTTGCAAGAAATTAGATGTATTGATTACTGCTGAATAAAAAAATAAATAAATAAAAAAAAATCCAAAAGAACTTAATATAATGTGTTCTTGACTATTCATGCATTTAAAGTTGCTAAATGAAACACTGAGGGTATAAGCGGAAAATTTAAACATCCCCTAGATTTTTATAAAGCTGATTTAGCGATGATTTAGCCTATATAATTTATGTTGAATTCAGAATAGGCACAATAATAGATTTCTTGACATGTACTATCAATAAAACTCTTTACATAGAAAAAAATTAATTTTAATGGCCTTAGACCTGCAGTCATAAAATGATGGGAGCAAAAATATATATGAGAACCCTGTGGCCAGTAAACTTAAAAACATGAATCTTTCCACATGAATCACCCCATCAGTGCATACCATTGGAAAAGAACTTAAGACTATGAAACTAAAGGTGCCAAAAGTCAAGGGTCAAAGTGGTTATTTGTGAAATGTGAAACAAACATTAATCACATAAGAACAAAAATGAAAATGTATATGACACCACTTGTGGGAACCCTGAATTTATAACTTATCCAAATTTACCAAATATGGGCGTTGTGAATTGCAATAAAGTGATTACACCAAATCCTATTTTTCCAAAACTTGCTCTTGCAAGCCCCTAAAATTCATAAAAGGTACAATATAATTACTTGAAAAAATCATAAATCTAATTGATTTCAAGGAAATGTTTACACAATTATTTAAATTTGCTTAGATCTACAAATCATACTGCAATTTTTCATACAATGTTGTTGAATCAAGGCAACATTCACAAAACAAATACACACATTGTTCTCCTAAAATTCAAAAACCAAACACATCCAAAGAAATAGTTTACAAATAAATTAATCGATAAATTGATCAAACAAAATCATGACTTTCATTTGGTACATAATACATCTCTTAGGTATATGAACTAATACTCATTAATAAAGCATAACATTTGATAGTCAATATTTCAGGCAAACGATCTATCAGCTGGATAAGAGTTGAGTTTTTTCTACACAAAAAGTAGCGTATCTAGAATATAATAATACATGCTTTATTTAATAAGGTATTAATAATTTACATTTATTATTAAAAAAATAAATCAATTACCTGGTAACTCCTAGTTTTCATAATAATTCCACCTTCAATCAGTAAACTAAGGGAATAATCTGCAAATAAACACGGCGATAAACAACTTGTTTATCTCATACCTAGTAATAGCATGAAGGAATATGAATATAATCGATATCTGAGGTGAGGGGGTGTTATATAAACCTCCCACGGAGGTGAGCAGGAGATATATATATATATCACCCACTCATCAGCAATCCCCAGGGATTTCTTTCAATGTATATATATCTGATTCGAACACCTGCTATTCGAAAATCACTTTCCATCTTCCAATCCTCAAATTATCATATTTTCTCTCTGAATAAAACACATATTATATCCCTCTCAGTAAATAACCTCTATATATTTACCTGTGATTACACCTACAAACACAAGGAGGAAAGCCCCAAGGCCGATGCCTGATTGTAGGACAGCATATGGAATGCCTAAAATATTAATACATGTTATGTAGAACTGTATACACTTTTCATATGATTCAAGCTTGAATTTCATCAACGTCAAAATTACATGTTCATTCACTGAATGTATTTTATCATACAAATTAGTCATTTACACTCATGTTTGAGTTTATGGTAATATTTCAGGCCAGTAGCCAGGTGGGGGTTAGCAGGGTTCGGACCCCCCCCCCCCAGCCAAAAATTCTTTCAAAATCATGCAGTTTTTCACCATTTTGAGCACTTCTCAAGTGATTTTAGTCATATTTGGGCCAAAATTGTCAAATGTGAACCCCCCCTGGAAATTTTTGAAAATTGAACCGCCCCTTGGCAAATCCTGGCTACAGGCCTGTATTTTGTACGATGCATGATTTTAGTACTTTTCACTTAGTGTTTCCCCACTTCCCGTTTCATTCATTTAAAATTTCCTTGAAAAATTTCCCAAACTATTTTCTGAGTCAAGCTCTCAGATGAATAAATCCCATATCTCTTACCAATAAGTCCCGATCCAATAATAGAGTTGATAATGTTAAACGTTGCCATGGGAATGTTGCTAGTCTCTACATCTTTATGTGGATCGTTAGATGCATCCTCATCAACGAGTCCTGATGTATCCATATTAGCCACAGGCTCGGAATTAGAGCTGTTCATTTCAGAAGCCTAAAAATAAGAATTTATGATCAGAAATAGTTGTGTCCCTCATCCAGTACTGTCAACCCCTAAAGATTTTCTCGCGGGACAGATTTTTTAGACCCAGTGCCCAAAATTCGCGGGATTTTGCGGGACATCTACTAAATTCGCGGGATTTTGCGGGACATTTAAGGGATTTGCGTGATTGCGCTAATAGGAGATTTTTTTTATCAAATTCGCGGGATTTCGCGGGACCATTCGAAGGACAAACACCCTAATTGCGGGACAGTTAACAGGTGTATCACCAAAAACTTCATAGAGGGACAGATTTTTTAGACAAAGTGCCCTAAATTTGCGGGATTTCGCGGGACATCCACATAAATTTGCAGGATGTCCCGGGACATTCAAGGGATTTGCGTGATTGTGACTAATGTAAAAGCGTGTAGAAGTACTTAAATCAAACTTTCAGATACTGATTAATCAAATATAATGCACCGTTACATTGTAACTTAAATAAACGTCAACACAATTTCACAAAATACGCATAGGAATATTATTAAACTTTATTGTAATTTATCAAAAACAAAAACCATGCTTCAGGTGTGATTACCGTAATCTAACACGAAATTCAAAAATTCGGAACAATACTTTGCACTTCTGGCGTCGTGACCAACTATGAAACGCTTACCCCCATAATGTTATATATTAAAATGTACCTATTCATATACTGTAGGCATGGGCTTTCAATTGAAAGCCCATGATATAGGGGTTCGATTAATCTACATCAAATTATAGGGAATGAGGTTAATTTTCTAGATAAGGTTTGTATAAAAAACCGGGTACCAGGTAGTAAATCCTCCATGCTGGGTTCAAACTTGGTACCCGGTCGAAAAAAAACAAAAAACGAAATTTACGAATACACAACATAATTAGATCATTAGAAAACGTGTAAGATTTGTTTTGAATTTACAAAAATGTATGTAACTTCCTTCAAAATTGAGCTAGAAGCTTCAAATAAAAAGCATTTTAAGGCTCTTTTCTTCCTCTATCATCTTGGTCATATTTCCATTGGTAATGAAGGGGGGGGGGGTGCAATCGCACCCCCACCTGGCTACGCCAATGACATTGCAAGACAATTTGAAAAACAAGACAAATCAATCTTACTCTATTTTCAATAGTTCGTATGTTGGTACGTGAATTGTTTTGATTATGATTTAAATCTGTAAATAGCTATCGTTGCTTTAGCAGAGAGGTGACGTGTGTTAATTTGCATGATGCAACGTGTAAGATTTTGATTATTAATCATAATTTAAGTTATCCCAATTTATGACAAAATGTCCACTGAATTGTAAATTGTTATGTCTTACAATGTCATAGGCGTAGCCAGGAGAGGGTGCGATGGTGCGATGGTGCGATCGCACCCCCCCCCCCATAACCAATGAAAATATGGCCATAACGATAGAGGAAGAAAAGTGCCTTAAAATATGCTTTTTATTTGAAGCTTCTAGCTCAATTTTGAATCATGTTACATACATTTTTGCAAATTCAAAACAAATCTTACACGTTTTCTCATAATCTAATTATGTTATATATTCGTATTTTTCGTTTTTTGGGTACCCGTTTTTTTGACCGGGTACCGGGTACCAAGTTTGAACCCAGCATGGAGGATTTACTACCCGGTACCCGGTTTTTTATACAAACCCTTTCTAGATATCAGCGTACATTTATTGTAACTCGCGTTTGCTAACATTTGCTCAGTTCTGAGATGAAGGCCACACGGGTAGTAAAAAGGCCAACGTTGGAACTATTTGTGACCTACATCCCTATTTTCGTAATTAAAATGAAAGTTGAACCCTTCCCCTTTATTTTGATACCAAACAACAGCATATGCTAGGTACTTAAAATTAGGTAAACTTTACTCCTCAAAAGTGCAAAAACTTAGCTTCTTATATCAGATAAGATAATCAAAATATAGGGGATTGCAACAATTTCGGAAATTCGCGGAGGTCAAAGCCACATTTTGCGGGACTTCGCGGGACAATGCGCGACACGCGAATTAGCCTAATTTTGATCAAACTTGCGGGATAATCCCGCCACTGGCGGGACACTTGACAGCTCTGCTCATCTGATGTAAAATGTAAACTGCATTAGAAATTTAAGAATTTCTGAATGTTTTCATATTGAAGCCCAGATTCAGAAGAATTTCTCATTTTGATTTGATGTTAAGGACATTGACAACTTAAGGATTTAAGCCCTGGACTCAGTATTTTTAGAAAACAACGCCTGCATAAGTACTTATCAGCTTATTGGTTTCATTAATTTCAACAGAATCTAGAATCAGAATCTTTCAGTTGCAAGAGAGCATTTTAGGATACATGGACATTTTTACAAAATATTATTCACATAAAACATGGAATATAGTGAAGGTAGTCTAAAGGGGGCAATGTACAGTACTTGTAAGGAAGGACAGGGGTTCTTAAGAAGAGAAGGCATTGCATTTATCTTTAATCAAGTCCAATATCTGATAGGAATCTAAAACAATATTGTTAAATAAGTACTGAAACAATTTTTGGCGTTAGTTCTTAATACTAATACATTCTTCATATAAAGAAAAAAACTTTTATTTAAGCAATTCATAACTATATCTCAAAATATTATATTATATGTATACATGTAATAATCTGATTGTTGAAATTAGTGTTATTTTCTAGAGCTTACCTTTATGGCATCCTCCCCATTATAAGTAGGTACTTTACTAGCATCCTTCATCAGTTCAAGCTGTACCCCATTTGAGGTAGTCCCCTCTACTGTTTTTTCAGACATTTTGCAACAGTCTTGTCATGAACGTCTGCAACAGTCTTGTCATGAATTACTCCTGCAACAGTCTTGTCATGAACTACTGCAACAGTCTTGTTACGAGTTACTCTTGCTGTACAGTCTTGTTCTAAACTTCTGCAATTGTCTTATCATGAACTACTTCTGCAACAGTCTTGTCCTGAACTATTTCTGTGCACGATTCCTTCAACAGACTGTTTTGTACTGTTGAAGTATTGTTCTAAGTCTCTATAGATACTCTCTACTATGTGTTGTTGCAATACAACAACATCTTCAATGACAGTTTTTCTTTTTCTCGGATGTTTTTACTCGAACCTATAAGCATAAAGAAAAGGGTTCATGATATTACTTATTAAAAAATGTTTGAAATTGCTATTCGATGTTTATGTCTTATTGCTTTGCATCAGCTCCTGCCTCATTTAAATGTACTCTCCCAGCTGTCTCTCTAAGACATGGAAATAGACATGACCCAAGATTCAATGATAGCAAATTATCGTGATTCGATAGAAATCATGAGAAAACTGATCTAAATATATTAATTTGCTTCAACCCCTGTAGACCCTCCAAACCGATAGCAAAAATTAAATTGATTTATTGGAAAACTGAACTTACCATTGACCCTTATCATTACAGAATGTTTATCCATATTTATTAAATTCTAAAGGCAGCATATTGTGGATACCAGCACTTCCTGGCATGTTAATACGTACTTTTAGCATGTTGTTCAATAATAATGAAGCCAACATTCAAATGTTTTCCTTCACAAAAGATACAAAGAATTTGATGAGAAACCCTCACAAAATCTAGTACCTTCTCATTGACACATCTTTATTGCTCACTTTGGGTGAATTGTGGCTCCAAATATGTCACAGTAGACTTGGTTTGATTTGCATTTACCACCGATCTTTTTATCAGGCTACTCCCATAAGCTCGAAGTCCAAATTTTATGCCTAGGTTTTGCTCTGATTCATCGGCCGGCGTCCGGCTAATTGCAGATTTTTGCTCAAAACTGATTTCAACTTGCTACAAATTGACCAAACTTGTTTTTAAACCATGTATAAGTTCTCAGGAGTTAACATCTGACCTCAAATTTGAGATTTGACCTTCAATTTTGAACAAAATACTCAATCAGCCGGGCACCAGCTGATGAATCAGAACAAATATGACCAAGGCCTTAATGAGTGTTCGCTAAAGGATTTGATAAATATATGGCCATAAGGATTGGGCCATTATATTCATCATGTTTTACCATGGACATCTCATTTTTGCAGAGCCATGAGATGTTTTAAGAGAAACAGAAAAATGTGATGAGTATCAGAATTATTATGTGAGACCAACTGCAGATTTTCATACGAATAGATAAAATTTCTAATCTCCCATTACTAGCCATTAGCAAAAGAGAAAAGTTCAGACTTTTTTCATCCTAGTTTTTCTTGTTCACTGTATCTAGTTCATTACTCATTCATATAAAATCATTCCTCGATCTTAGATACATGTACCTGATTGTATGAATGACCTCTAGAATACAGAAGTATGCCACAGCTTGTGATTTTATTGTACAATATATTTTTATGTTAGAAATATTAAGCTGAGCCTTATATTGACTGTAAAACATATAGTATGGGAGAACGCCACAATAACTTTCACTTAAAATGAAAATGCAAAGCCTTATTTATTTGATTTTCAAAATTGATTCTATTCAGATATAAGTTTTCTATGAATGCCTATTTTCTACTTATCACACCTGTTGAATATTTATACATCAATTTAATGAAACAAATCCATATTTTGCCAACAAAATAAGACTTTTTTTAGGTACATGTTTTTTATTTACTTACGGTAGATTGTGGAGGCCGAGGCTGTTGAGCATTATAAGAAGTTCTATAAATTATTACAATTCTATGTTTTATCGCCTAGGTTATCTATTTATTCAGTTATTTGAAAATGTTGGAATTCAGTTTACCTGATGAAAATATATAGATATATCAACAATTTGTAACCTCAAACAATTTGTTTCTTTTAATTTAAGTATGACCTGAATCGACAGAAAACTTCATTTTTGATGTGATACAGACCATTTGTGGTATATTGTGAAATTATTGAGTTCATATCTGTTAAGGTCATAGTGTTTTAATTTTTATGATAGTCACTTGATAGCAAAGGGATATCATGATTATATGTATACCTCTATGTTAAGTCAATGGTGCCTATCCATTGTTAAATCAATACACCTTACTGAAATCCTCATTTCTCAAAACAACAGATGATTGATTGATAACATTGCTAAATTCTCAAATGTTTACACTATTTTCAAGTATCAAATCTCATTTAAGAGCATGTCTGCAGTAACAATTCTGACTTAATTTTTTGTATCATTCTGGGGTCACTGCACTTAATGACCTTAATTTCGTTGATGAAAATGCTCTTACTAGCTCCAAAAAAAGAGAACTTCCTGGCAATGCATTTGTCCATGGTATTCTTATCAGATATATGCAGTTTTTATCAGATACATGTATATGCAATTCGTATAATGAATTCATATGATCCGCTATCAGATCCGGATAAATTTTGTCATGGTAATGATGCATTGTGGGATTAATCCAAGAATCTATCCAAAAATCGGTGAATTTGTACGATCCTGGGATTAATCTCAGGATAAATCTCAATCCACCTCTTAAGGTGGATTACTTTTTGGATAAATTCTCTCCAATTTTCAATGCAAATTGGATAAATCTTGGGGATTCCCCCTCATAATCCTCGGATTGTATGAATTCACCAAATATTTATCAGATTAGTAATCCAAGATTTATCCTAAAAGAATTGGATTGGGGATTGTACAAATTCATGGCCCCTTGGATCTTTCACAGTCTAAATGGAATGACTATATCTAACAAGCATAATAGTGTTTACAAGATACAGAAAATGATAGTGTGCTGAATCAAATGACACAAACAAACAAGTTTGATTATCTAGTTTAAGCAACCAGATACAAGCCCGAGATAACCCTTAATGATATAGGAAAAAATAATTCAAACCTCAATCTTGCTAATCTGGCCAGATAATACTGAACATTTAAAACCATCAAAAATTTGTTTTCTAGATTTGAAGCACCTTACATGTATTTAGTAAATTAGTGGTTGAACCAATCAAATCGTATGCCGCATACAGACACATGCGCAGTAGCCATGAAGATATGAAAGGGGAATTTCAACTTCATAACCACCTTCTGAATATAATCAGCTAATAGTAGGACTTCTCACAATCCGTGGATGAAAGGGAAATTTCCACAAGGAGCAATTTGCACGAGGTTCCATTTTTTGGTTTGTTTTTTTGCGCATACACATTAAATCCAGCAATTTTATTAGTTAAATATAATTATAAAATAACTACATATATTTTTACAAGATGTAGATAGATATCACTTGTGTTTATTATTTCACAGCAGTCCCTTACCATAATGCACCCTATTTTGGGTAGACTATATCCTATTTAGTCTGAATTATATTCAGACTATATTATAAGGCACCTTTGTTAAAGTTTGGTAATTACTAAATATTTGTTTACATAGGAAGTGCTATTCAAAATGACCGATTGGGTAAAATTAATTTGCATATTTGTTACTTCAACTAGTGTTGTTGCGATGTGCCATAATCGTACATCGATGCATCGGCAATTTTCAGTAGTAAACATCGATGCATATCGCGATGTACATCGAGGAAAAGTTCGAGAAAAGTGCACTGAAATACCGAACGCTAATGCACTAAAATATCGAACAGAACAAATTAATAAGAGTATGCTGGTACATCCGGGAACATAGTAAAGGTGAAATGAAAGTAAAGTAATTTTTTTAGATTAATGGTTCATTTCGACTAGCTAAAACAGTTTTAAAGCGAAAGAATATCAGAAAACATTTGAAAATGAAATAAGACATGAAAAAAGGTAAGCAATTTGCATCAAAATAAGATAAGAAAGGGCGATTTTTAGCAAATTAAAATTTTTTAAAAACATCGATGTTTTGTTTCAGACATCGATGCATCGCCAGAACCAGCTTTGGCGATGTATATCGCGATGTATCGATTAATCGCGACAACACTAACTTCAACTAGCTTTATTTCCACTTGACAATATGCTGTGTTACTTTTTATTGCATTTAATTGTACCTTACTACTGAATTGAAATTTTGTAATGTTTATTTTATTGAAGAAATGGTTCCTCTAATTGATAATTTTGTGCAAAAAATTTCACTGCAATTTCCACGGGAAAGTAGTACATCATAACAGACTAACTTCTAGTCAGTCTGTTGGATACATACATATGTACTGCTATTTTGGGGGAATATTTTCCTATAGTGTTAAAACTAAGAACTCTCAACCCCCCCCCCCCCCCCCCCCCCACGTATGTTTTATATTCTTTGGCAATAGACTCAGCCATGGGCGTAGCGCCCGGTACGCTGGGTATGCACAGGCGTACCAGATGGTTGCAAATCCGCTCCAAATCCAAACAAATTTCAAAAATTTCCTGGCGGAGAACCCCAAGACCCCACTGAATTCTCGTTTTTTGATTCTTGACTCTTGTTCCTGTGGTGGTGGCGTACTACTTAGAAAAATAGCGCTATGCCCATGTCAGCTGCCTCAACTTCATAACCTGTGAATATAATCAGCTAATAACATAGATCCCAGCCAGATTATTTTGAGGTAGGATCAGTAGCTCAATAAATATTCCTCAAGATGAGACACCTCAGAAAATTTCAAATTTTAAAATGACGATTCTGGAGCCATTTCTGAAAAATATGAGACAAATCATACCTCATTCGAAGGGTCTTGTTATTCTTTACCTTTTTTATCACCAATGATCGTTATTCAAGCAATACTGCGTTGATAAGAGGCCAAAACAGTGATATTTTATCGCCAGACTCTTGTCTGTCCAAATCTGAATGGTGCTCCCGTGGTTCCAGAAATGTGACGTCATCAGTACAATGATATTTGGACACACAAGAGTCCGGATTTCGTGAAAAATATTTGCCGTATTAAAAGTCAAATAACTGCATCCATAGCTTATTTACTCGAACCAAACAAGTAGAAAAAGAAAGATGAAGATCTCAGCTATAAAATAAGTGCAAAATCTGTCACGGGGAAGCAGGTAACATTTTGTATAAGGAACGTTTTGAAAGGTGGTCACTTTTTTTTGAAATTTTCCAATTTAGTGACGCATCTTCTGTATTATTCTTTGAGCCTATGAGATCCTACTACAAAACGATCTGGCCAATATCTGTGGCTAATAATAGGACTTCCCACAATCGTGATTTTACAAGAAAAAATTCTAAGATGAAACTACATGTAGACTAGATGGAGACATGTATTGTCAAATGGACTAAGTGGGGCAACCCCCCCCCACCCTCCAAAAACAACAAATTCCATTTCCGTCTCGGTTTTTTTTCGGTGTTTGTACCGGTCGTATTTACCAAATGCTAGTTACGAATACGAATATGAACATACAGTCAGAACAAATTAGAAAACAATGTTAACACTTATATAAAGACTTACTTATATCGCATTCTGATCAATACGTTTGGAGGGACTGGAAAATTTAGAGCACCTGTTGCAGTTGCAAACTCCCATTTTGCACTAGAGGCAATCTGCGCGAGATTCCATTTTTTGGTTCGGTTTTTAGCGCATGCGCATTAAATCCAGTAATTTAATTGGTTCAAATTATTATAACGCATGCGCAATTAATAACTTAGTTAGAATATTTAATTTGAGATAGATGTCACTTATGCTCATTATTTCACAGCAGTCTCTACCCATAATGCACCATATATTGCGGGAATATTTCTGTTTAGTGTAAAAACAAAAAGTATACACCCAAAACAAATGAAATGACATAATATCAACCTGCCCCGGGTTCGTAGACGTGTCTGGTACAAACATAAACCGAACCGATGGCAGAAAAGTACTTTGAATCATGGGAATGGAGTACTTCCTTTAATGAAAAACCGAACCAAGTAAAAAACGAATCTCGCGCAGATTGCCCCGACTCCCATTTTGTTTTGATTTTTCAACCGGAGGCGGAAGTAGATTGTCAAGGAACTAATTTTGCACCATATGTTAACATTTACCGTACATATTGCGCATGAATCTCTACAGTAAAATAAGAAAGTATTTCTCCTGCTTACAAATCTGTTCTTGAAATGTTAATTCAAAACAAGGAGGTCATAAATAACTAAAATACAATTTGCGCAAGTTTTTTGTTACATCTCAATTTCTCCCGTTATATGCAGCAATGGCGGAAGAGGTAAAAATAATATTTCCAAAATATATGGATTTTTCTTCATTATCTCTTGAATCGTTTCATATATTTATGTTATCTTGTCACTTAGATAATGGAAATAAGTTTATCTTAAGATGCAATCGTTTTGATACTTGACATGTGTTCTAGCAAACATAATATATGACATAGAAATAAAAGCTTATTTTTTATCAAAGGGTTTGTGTAAAAAACCGGGTGACCGGGTACTTAACGTTCTAAGCAGGGTTAGGATTTTTTTTGGTTTATAACGTTGGATCTGGACGATACATGTACGTTATTTTCGACGTCACGTTTTGAGGTTATTTCACATCGTAAGTATGTTTTGACAAAGTTAACTTTTAACGTTAAAATAACGTAGGTAATGAACCGATTTAGTGAGAACATATTGACGTCTTTGTTACGTTTCCTTGACTCACAAATATTTTGAAGCCATTTCCACAATGTTGAAATTTCAACCATCCATCGACGTTTTGCTGAATATTTAAATAACGTCAGATCAATACAGTCCATGAATGTCATTATTGACGTCACTTTTGAGGTTATTTCAAATCGAAAAAAACATTTCGACAACGTTAAATTTTAACATTAACAATACGTCGGAAATGAACCGACTAAGTGAGAACACAAAGTTTTTGTCGTGTTTTTTCCACCAACAAATATTTTGATATTAAAAGCCTGTTTTGACAACGTTGAATTTTAACGTTTGAGTTACGTCACATATGGACCAAATTAGTAAATATCGGGGGAAATGTGGAACGTTGGTAACCTTGCTAGGAACGTTGGGTACCCGGTCGACCGGGTACCCGGTTACCCAGTCACCCGGTTTTTTACACAAACCCTTTGTCAAACCAAAAAACCACAGACGTCAAGTAAGTTTCTGGCGAAAGCTGGAGCATAGATTATTAAGAGGACTGGAAACAAGAATGACCTACCTTTTTATTTCCCGAATCTCGCCTGAAATTATCTTATCTTGGTGACTGTAACCTGTATATCTGTATTAATAAAGTCTCTTTGTATCGTACCTGCCTCAATTTTAAAGTTTTATTGGTATTTTTAATATGATTTCACTGTTTTTGTGGACTGGTACGATTAGGCCAAGCAAATGGCAGCTGACCTGTTCAAAGTACTTTTAGTACTAATTATCGCAAATGACAATAATTTTGGAAACAATATGATACTAAATAGATTACTAAGCATCTAAGGTAAGTAAAACTAGATGAACAACTGAGTCAATAGTGATAAATAGGCCAACACGAGTTGGCAGATTTGAAATAGACTGCCATCTTGTTTCCAGTCCTCTTTATAATCTATGAGAAACTTACTTGCCAGAAACTTACTTGACGTCCGTGCTAAAAACATTAAAATGAGTTCTTTTAAGATTTTTTAAAAAAGGACTTCTACGAAGTGGGTGGAGCTCTTCGTACTATGGAACAGGTTTGAACCATTCATGTGACATCCGGCCTGCCTTTGATAGCATGGCAAATTGTTAAGGCAACCATATATAAGTCGTCATTTGATGTGATTGTGAATCAAAGATATGACATATCAGATCAACTACTATTAGTTGACTTAATTTTGTGACCGATTTAACTTGGCGAATTTGGTGAATTGCAAAATTTCAACGAAATCATGTCGTAACCATTTTCTTAGAAATCCCCGGGAAATTTTTGTAAAATGTAATTTATGTTCAGAAAAATGGTGTATCGCGGTTCAAATGTTCAAGATCTGATTTATCCAATAAATTGGACCATTTGGTGTAAGAAAGTCGCAATAAGACAGCATCCAGTTGAGGGTTAGTGTAAAAAAGGGTGGCTGGGTTGCACTTTTTCCCTAGAATATAGTAGCCAATTGACCTGTCAAGCACTAAACAGGCATATAGTCTCCCAAGTATAGACTACCGTTCGATATTTAAACATATCATTTTTACCAAGAACCTGTAAGAGATTATTTTAATAATCGGCTACTTTATCAATATCAGAAAAAATTAAATGGTTATTGGTTACCTGGTTACACAAGATATCCTCTGAATAAACAAATAATGAAACGACTGAATCGGAAGTCTTGGGTACAGTTAACAGTTTACACATACAATAATGTCAGTCGGTTGATTTATTGATTGAGTTTTAGCGTTTTGAGGCATAAAATGAAAAAATCAGATTCCTAACCCTGGTAGAAACGTTGTGTACCTTGTCAACCGGCTACTCTGTTACCCAGTCACCCATTTTTTTTACAAAAACCCTCCAGTTGATAAGTACAGCTTATTTTTTCATTTAGATACATTTAGAAGGTATAAAAGCATTACTTATCACCCATCTGAATAAAACAATTTTCTAATCATTTTCTGAAGAAAATCAATTTTAATTGCCACATTAGATTCCTTTTTCAATCTTCTATCCACTTGGCTTATGTTCTGTTGGAATGACAACCGTTGATACTGGTTCACTTGGGAAATTCACCAATTTCACAGCCATTTATTCTTGCTAAATTCGCCAAGTTAAATCTCCGCAAATTTTTCAATTCACAATTGAAAGTAAATTGCGCCAAATTAAGTTGACTAACTGTATGACATCAACTACATATTACCCAGTTTTCTCCACATATCATCATTATAGCTTTCATATTTTTCTAGCGTCACTGGATTATCTTGTTTAAGAAAAAAGTAGCCTAGCCTACTGGGTTACTGCTGGGTAGAAATTGTATGACCTAGATATACAAGATCTGACTCTTTTTCTTTGTTATTTTTTGATAATTATTTTCATCATTTTTTACGTCTAGAGTCTAAATACAGATCACTACTGTAGTTTTCCATAACTCCAGGTTGTGGACAGAATTTGTCAAAACTTCCACGGCAAAATCCCTGATTTTCATGAAAATTTCGCGTAATCAACAGATTTACATGTTTTTACAAACTTTACTACTATCCAGCTATGAATAAGACGCGTGAGTTTAGTATATCAGTAAATGTATACATTCTATTTATATTCAATTTACAGGAGTCTGACGTCTTTGAAATTACTGATTTTACAACAGCGTCAGAGTGGGAAAGATTCATTGCACGTATTGAGGAAGTGATTCATGAATGGAGACTGAACAAGCAATATACCAGTCAACCACTGAAAAGGGTAAGTTTGTAACTGCATTGTATCATCATAATTTTTTTTATGTCCCCACCACATAGTCCGGACCATATTGTCAGCCTAGGCACGTCCGTCCGTATGTATGTATGTCCATACCATTCAACCACTGAAAATGGTAAGTTTATGACTGCCTTATAAAATCATCATAATTTTTTTATATTAATTTGAATTTACTTAAAGTAGAACACTATTTAGTGGAATAAAGGGGATGTTCCTTTTACACAGGTGCTCTGTATTTTAAAAATGACATACATCGCACAGTTATTTAACCTGTATATCTGAACACCTCCCAATTTGAACACCTTTTTGGTCCCATTTTGTCCTCCCATTGACTCCCATATTACAAAACGTTGAAATGTAAACACATCACAATTTGAATGGTGAACAGACGTACTGTACATAGTATTTGAAAAACTAACCTGTCTTATCTGAACACTTTTTATAAATATGTTTCAGACAAGATTACTCAAATATTTAAACACTGACATGTCATGAAATCAAAACTTTTGGAAAAAACCTTGAATGGTCTCAGTCGTAATGTCGGCTTTCCAATTTTACCTCAAGCTTTGGATGAAATGGCTAAGATAAATGCAGAAAGATTCAAAGTTTTTTAGGTTAAATGAAATCGGAACTTTAATTTATCAAGTTGAGGCATCTAAGGGAGCATTTCAAAAGATGAATGCTGGAAAGTTACTGTTATTAACAGTCATGAGGGTAGGGGGTCATTAGCCTTAAAATATAGCTTTCCGACATCGTTCCCGGGAAATTTGTTTCAGCAAATTTTGTTGGATATAAACTCAGGATTCTACAGTGAGACACATTACAATAGATAATATTAGGCTCATACTGTACAAAAATACAGATTGGAATAATTATAGAAAATTGACTGTATTACAAATTATCTTAGATAGATAGATGACTTAATGCATTGATGCATTTTAACATTTCTCAGATACAGTTATGAGGGGGAGGGAGGGGAATCACAGATTAGCTGTTCAAATACAGTTAGTAATCCTACATTGAAATTTTGAAATGTTCCCTAAAGAGTTTGTTAGTCTTAAAATTGTCAAATTGTGAAAAATCACATCAGTTACATATACACCCTGTATGTAAGCCATATTCATTTTCAAGTAACTGAGATAATTCATTCTTATGGTCTCGCTTAAACTTTCGTTTACAATCATAAAAATCATACATTGTTTAAAAGTGAGACTCTATACTGATGTCCCTCTTTACACGATTGAGTGTAAGTGGAATGTTCAATGTATTTCATATGTCTCAAACATGTTGTTGGTGGATGGTGTTTGGTGACTGTTGTTCGGTGGTTGGCATTTGTAACAAATGGCAATTGGTGTCTATAGCAATTGGCATTTGTTGGTGAAATGGCTTGTTAAGATTTATCCTAGCATTATTTAAGTAGAGCTCGTAGTCTTTGTGAAAGTGTAGTGTTTTTCCCTTTGCAGTTTCAGTTTCAGAGTTCTGATCTTCATATGCTTTCAACCGCTCTGTTAGATATCACTATCAAGTTTTTATAGCTGTCATGTAATTAGTTATTTAGAGCTAGCTTCCACCTACAACTACAACCCTATTTAATGGCTCGAAATGGTTACTAGGGTAATGCACTGTTGTTTATTGTTTGCTGTGGCGATAAATCGAACATTAATAGAAAACTGCTTCTAGACAAAATAGTGACAAGTCATTTTGATTAATTTATCTGAATTCCATTAGTCGCCAAATTCAGATATAATTAGAAAGAAAACAAACATCCCAAGAATCAACCTGAAAACACCTGATGTTTTGCTGCTGTTAGAAATGGCAATTTTATTTCTTGTATCATTTACCAGTTTCACTGCATCTCCCACTGTTCCATTTATCATTCTCCAGATTTTGTTTCTCGGTTCATTCATCTGGTTTGGTCCACTCACTGTGGTGATCTGTACTTCAAATGATTCAGAAATATTAGTTCCTGATGGTACATTGAGAACCAAACTTTTGGAGGGCATGATCTTGCGTTTCACGGTGTAGTTAAGTGTGAAATATCCCCATGAGATGGCCTCCATAGATCTTTGCAGTTGCTTTGCGTAGGCATCCATCAAAAGGGCCTTCTGCGAGTTGTTTAGTGCCTTCATTACCTTCACATCAATGGTGAAAAAATACTTGCAAGCCTTTTCTTCTGGTCTGTTTTCTGAGGGTATTAAGGAGCAACCGGAACTCATACCACTTTTTGGTTGTCCAAATACTGGGATATCCTTAAATAAGTTATTCAGAGCAACAACAGTGAATGGTTGCATGTCTAGTTCTACTGTCGAGTGGCCGCCTAAGATTTGATCATTCAGCAGTCCAGTGGTCAAAGATATACTCAATTCTACAACATCTTCATTAAAGATGCATCTGTCGCCATGTTTTATGTAGTATGTGGGGCATGAGACAACCTGGCATCCATCTCCACCAATCGGACAAACCTCAGCGAATGCATCAAATCTTTGGGCACCCTTTGTTATTTGTTTGTGTTGGTAGACCACTTCATCTGGCTTTTCTAATGTGATTTCTAGTTCATATGAGAAAATAACATTTAGGCTATCACCAACAACATCCTTGTCAAGAAGATGGACACACTCAGGGCCAGTTTCTTCTGTGCTCAGACATAATGCACATATGAGGTTTGGTAACATTACAGCTTCGTTTGATATATTAGCAAAGACTGGCTCATAAATGACATTCCTACAATCATCAGCTAATTTCACTAACGGGTGAATGTCGCAGGCTTCCAGATAGTTCTTAGCTGGCTTGAAACATGGTCTCGGTGGTGCATGTTGGTCGTAATCCTGATCATTTAAAGTGAAATTGACAGAGCAGTGAGAGTTTGTCGTCACTATGTCCCATAGCAAGTTCTTGTTGATTGATTCTTTGAGATTGTCACATGAAACATTGCCCCCATTTTCCGTGCAGTAGACTTTCGATTGCCAAAATGTGACATTTTGGATTCCATTACACATCGCACAGTATATATTTGCATAGTGCAGACCATTCTGATTGTCCATCACTGGTGTAATATCCAGGATATCATCACCTGGGTTTTCGCATGATTGAATTGTAGAATTGTTCACTAAATTTTTCTCTGGACATACAGATTCAACATACACACCCAATGCCTTTGATATCATCTTACATGATGTTGTCTTGGTAATGATATCGCGAGTGCTGTTGTAGTCAGGGTTGCATCCTATTGTTTCGTAGTCATGGCAACAGTCGCCATATTTAACGCAGAGGTCATCACAGTTGCAGTAGAAGTACTGGTCTCTGTGGGTTTGTGGAGGAAAACAACAGCGATATTGACATGAACGTCTTTGGTGAAAATTCCTGCATTTGTCCTGATCTGCAGGTGAATGGTCAGAAGTTTCCGTAGGTGTTAAGGGCAGGATGAATGAGGCGGTGATTAGTTCCACACACACAAGTAGAGGCAAAATGTTTAAAATAAGGAACCTACTCGCCTGATATCCCATCTTGTTATCTTGTTATCCCATCTTGTTCAGTTTTTTAAAATGATGTTGGATGAATGTCCAAATCAGACATTTAGTGTGTTATATCCCTTCAAATTTCCATGGCAGCTTTCACAAAGTACAGAACGAATCAATGATTTTGATTTCGTGCTATATTTTTATGTTGCTCCGATTGATGTCCCTTGTTGTTCGTGCTCACTGTTGGTGCTGTAAGTGATGGTTGATCATTTCTGGCTTTAATATATACTTGTCACTTTGAAGATTTTAAAATTGATTAGATTTTGAGAAGAATGGCTTGATTCAGCAGGATCCATGTTGCACAATGGATTTAATTTCAGAGCCAGCAATGGACAGTTTGATTGTGATTTCATTCCTTTTGTCCAAATAGACAAATAATGGATCCCTCCAATGATTAATTAAATACAGATATCACACCTGAGGAACACTTGATCTGTCCTAATCATGATTTTAATTATCATTGTTAATGTATCACAAAGCAACAATAAAATCTAATTAAATTTTGCATTTGTAACAATAACTTGATTTCTTAAATATTTACATTTGTGTATGTCCTGTTAATAACAAAATGGGGAATCGTGGGCATGTCTCATTGGGCGTATACCGCAAATGAAAATGTAACAAAGCAGCAATAAATTCAACATTAATTACATTTAGCATTCACAACAGGAACTCTATTATTAGGAGGCCCCATCGGGGGGCCTCCTATCAATTTTGTAGATATTATTCTTTATTATTCTTTATTATTAGACTCCAGATGTCAATCTGGAGTCTATTGTTTTTGCCAGTATTCTTCTTTATTATTCTTTTTATTCTTCTACCCACGTTTTCTCAGTAACCAGAAGACATTGAGTCAAGACCTGTATATGGTCAATTTAGGTCCAGTATCTAGTTTCTCGGAAATTGGTTCAATTTTTTATCTAGGTCAAAGGTCAAGAACTAGGTCAAATCCAGTACTTTGTCACTTTTTTCAATTTTCTCAGTCGTCCTTCAATATTTTCGATCCAGGTTTTTTTCATTGTGTTCCTTATAAAAAAGTAGGAAACCTAGGGTCGATTTAGTTTTTTGATATCTCAAACCGATTTCGAGATATTAGTGTCCGAAAACGAGGTCCAAAAAAGAATTCTCCGAATCCAATGTCCAGGATATTAGGCTTATAGGAAATTTTCTCAGGATTCCGAATCTGAAAACAGAATTGGAATCCGACTTCCGGTTCAGGAGTTATGACGTTTTAAAAGTTCGAGAAAAATCAATCTGATGGTACCCTTATAGAATGTCAAAAGTAAAAAAATTGTTAGTCTTCTACCAACGTTTTCTCCTTAACTAGAAGACATTGAGTCAAGTCCTGTATATGGTCAATTGAGGTCCAGTATCTAGTTTCTCGGAAATTGGGTCAACTTTTTATCTAGGTCAAAGGTCAAGAACTAGGTCAAATCTTACATTTTCAACATTCTATCAATTATCTTCGTCGTTATTTATCGAAACGTCTTCGTCTTTTTTTCATCATGTAGCTTAGAAAAAGCCCTTTCATAAGTGTCACTGTTTTTTTTAATTACTCTTACCGATTTTGAAATATGGCGTCCAGAAAGTAGGTCAAAACAAAAGTTCTCCAAATCCAGGGTATGAGTTATGAATTAGGGGTAGAATTTTGTCAGGAATCTGAATCTGCAAACCAAATTTCGATTCGACTTCCGGTTCAAAAGTTATGGCGTTTTGAAAGCTCAAAAATCGCTAAATTTGGTGCCCATGTTAAGTCAATGGGAAAAAAGATTTTTTTGAAGTGAAGAATAAGAAATGTAGACTGAGTTCAGCTTCGTATAATCAAAGCCTTTAAAAGAAGGGGACCTCAAAAGCCACATAGCTTCAAAATTTGGACACCAAAATGCCTAGGTCAAAATCTAGGTCAAATTCAAAGTTTTTTCTTATTTTTGTGATTCTGACACTACACTTTAATTATATTCTTCGAAATTGTGCCAATACATGTAGCCAAGAGTGTGCTAATAGCGTTAGCCTTTTGCCGTCAGAAAGTATTTTGACCCACTTTTGAGATATGGTGTCCGAAAAGTAGGTCAAAATAAAAAGTTCTTCAAATTTAACGTTTGAGTTATGAATTAAGAATAGAATTTTCTGAGATATCCGAATCTGCAAACTAAATTTCGATCCGACTTCCGGTTCCGAAGTTATGGCGTGTCCAAAAGTAGGTCAAAATAAAAATTCGCCAAATTTAACGTATGAATTAGGGGTAGAACTTTGTCAGGAATCCGAATCTTTAAATCAAATTTCGATCCGACTACCGGTTCGGAAGTTATGGCGTTTTGAAATTTCGGAAAATTGATCTGATGGTATCCTGATAGAAAGTCAAGAGTAGAGAAGAAAATATTGAAAAATTCATCGATCCATCCTTCCTATCTGATCCTATCCTTCCTATCTATCCTTCCTTCGTATCCTTTCCTTCCTATCCTTCCTATCCTCTCCTATCATATCCTTTCTTCCTATTCTGTTCTATCCTATCCTTCTTTCTAATTCTATCCTATCGTTCCTTCCCATTCTATCCTATCCTACCTTCCTATTTTATCCATCCATCTTATTCTGGATGACTCAGCTTATTCTGGATGACTCGGCTTATTTTAGATGACTGGGCTTAAAAAAGTCTAGATCTGGAGTCTGAAATTGAACTTCGTTCAATTTCCAAAGTCTAGTTATTTATTCTTCCTCCCTCTTTTTCTCCTACTTCCGACTAACTTTCAACTAGCTACTACATAGTCCTACTAAGGACCTGGGCTGAACTTGGCGGGAAAGGAATTTTTATCTAGGTCAAGTTCAAAATCTAGGTCAAATCTAAGCTTTTTTAAGTTTCTCAGATTTCGTCCTCATACTTCATTATTTCTTGCGATGAATTAAAATATAACTAGATATAAGCATTCTCTAAAAATTGCTCACTATATGTACACGTTAATTTTCTACCGTTTTTGAGATATTTGACGTCAAAAATCGGCAAAAATCGGTCATTTTTCAACTTGCTTCAAATGAACCAGATTTTTTTTTAAAAATCATCTACAAGATCTCAGGAATTCAAATATGTCCTTACTTTTGACCTCCGACCTTTGGTTGACCTTCGGTGACCTTCGAAAGGTAAAAAAAGTTGTTTTTTCAAATTGATTTTCTGGATTCAAATTTAGGTATATTTGATCACAAAGGACCCACTGAGGTCTAAAAAAGTAAAATTTGTAAGGTCAAAGGTCAAGGTCATCAAACAAGATCACAAACTGTGTTTTCTAAGTTTCTCAAAGTTTGTGACTACAAATCAATATTTTTGAATTAAAGTCAGGATATATATTCCTCTATAGGTTCTACACATATAAGCAATTGACTATTTATTACAATTGTGTACCAGTTTTGAGATATTGGAACTCAAAAACTGAAAAAAGGTCAAATTTCGAAACTTTTCAAGACTAAATTTCAACTTGCTTCAAATTGACCAATTTTTTTTTTAAAACTCATCTACAAGTTCCCAGGATTCCAAATCTAACCTTACTTTTGACCTTTGACCTTTGGTTGACCTTCAGTGACCTCCGAAAGGTCAAAAAAGTTGATTTTTCAAATCGATTTTCTGGATTCAAATTTAGGTACATTTATTCACAAAAGACCTTCTGAGGTCTAAAAAAGTAAAATTTGCAAGGTCAAAGGTCAAGGTCATCAAACAAAATCACAAACTATGTTTTCTAAGTTTCTCAAAATTGGAGACTACAAATCAATTTTTTTACTGAAAGTCAGAATATGTATTCCTCTAAAAGTTCTACACATATTAGCAATTGACAATTTATTAAAATTTTGCTCCAGTTTTGAGATATTAGAACTCAAAAACTGAAAAAAGGTCAAATTTCGAAATTTTTCAAGGTCAAATTTCAACTTGCTCTAAATTGACCAAACTTTTTTTTAAAATGCATCTACAAGATCTCAGGAACTCAAATCTGGCCTTAGTTTTGACCTATGACCTTTACTTGACCTTCAGTGACCTTCGAAAGGTCAAAAAAGTTGATTTTTCAAATCGATTTTCTGGATTCAAATTGAAGTTTATTCAACCAGAAAAGATATATTGAGGTCTAAAAAAGTAAAATTTTTAAGGTCAAAGGTCAAGGTCATCAAACAAGATCACAAACTGTGTTTTCTAAGTTTCTCAGATTTCGTCCTCATACTTCATTATTTCTTGCGATGAATTAAAATGTAACTAGATATAAGCATTCTCTACAAATTGCTCACTATATGTATGCATTAATTTTTTACCGTTTTTGAGATATTTGACGTCAAAAATCGGCAAAAATCAGTTATTTTTCAACTTGCTTCATATGAACCAGATTTTTGTTAAAAAATCATTTACAAGATCTCAGGAACTCAAATATGTCCTTACTTTTGACCTCCAACCTTTGGTTGACCTTCGGTGACCTTCGAAAGGTAAAAAAAGTTGTTTTTTCAAATTGATTTTCTGGATTCAAATTTAGGTATATTTGATCACGAAGGACCCACTGAGGTCTAGAAAAGTGAAATTTGCAAGGTCAAAGGTCAAGGTCATCAAACTAAATCACAAACTGTGTTTTCTAAGTTTCTCAAAATTGGAGACTACAAATCAATTTTTTACTGAAAGTCAGAATATATATTCCACTAAAGGTTCTACACATATTAGCAATTGATTATCTATTAAAATTTGGCTCCAGTTTTGAGATATTATAGCTCAAAAACTGAAAAAAGGTCAAATTTCAGAATTTTTCAAGGTCAAATTTCAACTTGCATTAATTCGACCAAATCTTTTTTAAAATCATCTACAAGTTGTCTGGAGTTCATATATGATCTTAAATTTGATATTTAACCTTTGACCTTCTAATTGGCAATGCCTACAGGGCCTCCGTAAGATTGCTTGCAATCTTCTAGTTTCTTGAATATCTAGAACCAACAAATGCATTGTGTTAGTCTCAACCTCTATACGGGGTGTCCATAATGTGAGCACTATCAACAATTGTCTTCCCTTCCCCTAATTTTTAGAAAATTTAACGAATGTTGTTTATTTGCCAATAACTTGTGACCATTTGTTTAAATTATGTCATTTATTTTTTCAGGGGGATTTCTCTGGGACTTGGATTGATAAAACGGAAATAATTACATTTGCTGACTTTAAATTCAATGTTACGCGGCATTATCTGAAAAGTCAAGAACAAGAAGTTGACATACCCGAGGATGACCAAAATGGTAGGTTAATTGGAAATAGTTTTTTATATTCTTCTTTGTGTAGGGATGCCAGAATGAGGTTGAACCTTTCTTTATCTTGTCTTAATTGGACCCTCCCCAATCATTCTTATATCTCCTATGGGGCAGTCTCATTTGGGGTTCATGGTACATTGATTTATTCTATTCCATATGGGGAGGCTAGAATGAAGTTTGATCCTACTTTATCCTGACTTGTTACACCATTCCCTTTGCAAATGATCCTTCTATATCCTATGGTGTGAACTGAGTCTCAAATGGGATTCATATATTTAGTTTTACATTTATATAATTCTTTTTGTATAGGGGGGGGGTCAGAATGAAGTTTTGCCCCTCTGATTCTTCAAAGGAGAATCCCAACTTTTACCCCCCCCCCCATAATGCACTTAGACTTCTGAAATAAATCTTTATGTGAAATATGGAACAGTGTATAAACAACACTGTGTATACTTACTACAGATCAGATAAAATAGATTTTACCTTGAATATTTTAAAACTTTTGAAAATAAGAAAAGAACCTGAACAGAATGTCAAGTGAGGATACAACTTCATTTTGTGTTTTGTTTTATAGCGTGTCATTTTGTTTGTAGAAACTGTTCCTACGGTACTACAGGATGTGGTTTCCATGGAGAATGATTTCCCATCCCGCGCTCATTGCATAAGTCGCTGGTAAGCTTTTTTACATAAATTTATGCCATGATACCTGTATAATTATCTGAACACCTCTCTAATCTGAACATCTCATAATGCGAACACTTCTTGGTCCCAGACTAGTTATATCCCATTGATTCACATGTTAAAAACCATAAAAATAAAAAGTGAACACCTGATAATCTGAACACACATTTGTCTATCAGTGGTGATCATTTCAAATGTTTTTTCTCCAGATTCCATGAAAGTTAAATTCCTTTTGTTTTCTCGTATATTTTTTCATTTTATTACAATTATGTTTTGGTTGTTCTTTTTGCCATCTTATTTTGTTGCTTTAATTTTTTCATACAGGTATGGCCTTCGTGATTTTGTGATCATGAGTCCCGCTGCCCAGAATGAGGCTATTATGGCGGAAAGCAGGAGCAATCTTGTCCTTAGCTCTATCGCAATTGCACTGAACAATACAGGATGGTAAGTATGTGATGATACGTGAAAATATGCGATAATGTTTGAAAATATGCGATAATCTTTACCGTTTTGCTTATTACAATTTTGCTCATTTTATTTCAAAAAGGTGAGTCCTGGTCCAATTGAAAATTTTGTTTGGTTTGATAATCAATGAATAATGTTAACCAATTTGGTGTATAGAACCAAAAAACAGATAATTCTCCCATTCTCTTAAAAAGTCAAAAAATGCAATTCAATAAAGATCATATTGCTTTTTATAAATTGAGTGCATTTATGGTTTTATATTCATATTAATCCCAACAAAATTCCTACAATTTATTTAATTTTCAGTCATATTCCATTATTTGTCCAAGTGCACGAAAAATGGCGCAGATTGTACTTCGGACTGAGTGAATACCCTGGACTGCGCACCAACTTTGAGATGGTACACTTGAAGCATATTCCTCCAGCCTACAATCATTTATCAGGACTGATTGATATGTTCAAAGCTAAGCTGGTAAGAATACTGTATGTTTCAATCCAGCACCATACATACAAAGTGAAGTTGGTAGTCTGGAGAAACGCACTCTCCTCGGCGTTCAGAAATAATTGACAAAATCTATTGATATTGAGGCCAAGAGAACGGTCTAAAAATAGCCTCAATTTTTGAAACAATGACTAAAAATAGCTTCAGTTTTTGAAACAATAGCTACAAATAGCCTCAATCCTTTAACAATAGCTACAAACATTCTATAACATGCCTCAAAATTTTCAAAGAAAGGGCCATGTTTTATACAGTATATTATTTCCAAGGCAAATGAAAAGTAAATGAAAAGCTTGTACACAAATGCAATCAAGTTTTCTGCATTTTAGACAATGATGATTTTATAACTTTTTAATAACTTTTATAATTTTATAACTTTTTCAGAATTGCTCTTCCTTGTCAGCCTCCTCACCAGTACAAGTGTCCATAAGGTTTACATTTGTCCTGCAAGATTGGCCACATTATTCTTGGACACAAGTGCCTCCAGGTAGGACTGATACATACAAGTCTCTTAGTTACAAGTAACTTACATAAATCAGGTCTTACATGCAAGTATTTTACATACAAGTCTCAGACATGAATGGTTGTATATGCAAGCATCATACATGCATCAGTCTCATGCATGCAAGACTCATACATGTTTACTACATGTTAGCCTCATAGGTTTGATTATTTAATTGCATACTTGCACTGAGGTCTTTTACATGAAAGTTCTATAAACTGCAAGACTAATATTATTATATACGCAATATGTAACACTAATCCTGATTGGTCAATACCTAGTCATGTGTCCCAAAATAGATTTACTATTTCCCTTCGATAGTTATATTCCCTCTGCGGCTTCGGGAATAGTACATTTTAGAGGATATTCCCTCAGGGAAATAATTTACACTATTGCCCTCAATGGCAGTCACTATTTGTATACTAATAATGTATTATACCAAACGGTAAACGGCGGAAAAAATACCGACCCCATGGGTTTGTGAAAGTTGTCTCTGCAACTCTGCAAGTTGGAAATTGGTTTGGAAACATTATGGAGTAGTCTTGGAGATTTAAAAGCTATAAAATGTTTTCAGATTTTGATGCTGGGAGTGGTACAAACGTTGGGATGACAGACTTGGAGACATTGCCATTTGGGGCGTGCCAGGACCCTGTAAGGTAAGTGCCAATAGATGTCTCTCTAATTGTTAATAATGACTAGAGTGTATGTAGTATAGACTCTAAAACCCACCATAGAATATAGTCTAAAACTCACTATTGAATACAGTGTATATCTAAAGCCCACCATAGATTATTGTCTAAAACTCACTATCTAATATAGTATAGACTCTAAGACCCACCATAGAGTACAGTACAGATTTTAAATCCACTAGTGAATATAGAATAGACTCTTAGACCCACCATAGAGTACAGTACAGATTTTAAATCCACTAGTGAATATAGTATAGACTCTAAAACCCTCCAAAGAGTACAGTACAGATTTTAAATCCACTAGTGAATATAGTATAGACTCTAAAACCCACCATAGAGTACAGTACAGATTTTAAATCCACTAGTGAATATAGTATAGACTCTAAAACCCTCCAAAGAGTACAGTACAGATTTTAAATCTACTAGTGAATATAGTATAGACTCAAAGACCCACCATAGAGTACAGTACAGATTTTAAATCTACTAGTGAATATAGTATAGACTCGACTAAAATCCACCATAGTACAGATTTTAAATCCGCTAGTGAATATAGTATAGACTCAAAGACCCACCATAGAGTACAGTACAGATTTTAAATCTACTAGTGAATATAGTATAGACTCGACTAAAATCCACCATAGTACAGATTTTAAATCCGCTAGTGAATATATAGTCCATGGTATGGCTCATAGATATTACAAACCCGTGGCACCATATATGCATAACGACATTTGAACCGATATTTAGGGAGGGGCATATGTCCTTATGCTTTTAAAATGCCATTTGGTAAAAAATATTAAGGCTTTCGGGTCGCATTATGTCTGTCATCACAAGAGGTCAAAAAACGTGAAACTTTTCATGAGCATTTTAGTGCATTTTATGAGACTCAAATTGTAAATCGAAACTTATATATAATTTAAAGGATTAGGATTACATAGAAATATAATACTATTTTAACGTAAATGTCATTTTTCAATTAGTGCATTGCACTAGGGTACTTTTCAACGTTTTATTATTTAGAAAAAAATAAGACAGAGCAGATGTGACCAAATTATGCGAAATATTCAGAAAATCTATAATTAGTAACATATTAGTTTTGTACTTATAGAAACAATATATTCACGGAAATATTTCTTGCGTTTTCAAGGGTCAAACAACGGATTATTGTTAATGATATTCAAAACGTAATCAAATAAAAATATAAAGGATGTATCAATTAAATAATTAATCTAATTTTGGTATTGGAATGTTTACATTTTTAAACTAGATGATTTGCATCGAGGAATAAAGAAGGCGCAGTCAAATGCGTCGCAAATATCATAGTGTCACAATGCTGTGCTCCCACAATAAAATAACCATGGAATGTTGTAAGAAAGTAAACATTGAATGCATTATAATATATTTCAGTTTTAATTATCGATTGTTTTATAAATGAGAACGCTAGAATGATTTATTAAGAAACCGGAAATCAACTTTCGTGGTTGACGAGTGACTATATTCAGGACGATTTGATGCAGTAGAGCAAGATTTGTGAAATTCAAGATAGTAATTTAGTTTTTTGAACTGTCCCTTGCGAAGACAAGATTTAGTTTTTGTTTCGATCATAACTTGACAAATGTTCGTTCTATTCTAAATGTAAATTTATAAGTGAGAGCCATACTGTCATTAATAAGAACCAGAAACCAACCTTCGTGATGGATGAGTGACACCGTTAGAGACGATTTCATTCAGCAGGGCGAGATTGTGAATTATACTAAATTAAAGGTACTCATTTATATTTTATTTCATTGACTATCTATATTTTATCATCTGTGTTCACGATATGTATCGTTGTTCCAAGGTGTGACCCTATCAATCATATCAACTCACCCATCGCGTGCAAAGTCCCGATTGGAATTGGGAGAAATTTATAATGTTGCACAAATCCAATCTTTCAGACGAGCCTCCGATATTTAAAGACGACATCGAATAATTTTTTGTAAGACCGGTTCTCTCAATTTTTTCAGCAAACCAACATCTCTCGTTTCCGATCTTTCCATTCGAGTTTTAGGAAGCCATACTTCATTTTATAATTTGTGACTTTTTATCAAATCAGGCATTATTCATTTGTGCACAAACTCTATGTCGCCAAAGCCATGCGAATTGCACTTTTACGAATTGTTGTGAGTGTTGTAAGATACATTTTCCTTTCACGTTGTATATTGATTTGAGATAGTTGGATTTTCTTTCCATTTGGCAATGAGATCTTAGCCATTTCATTTTCCTGCTATGTTTTGTCATTTTTGGTCTTTCGCATTTGGCACTCGTGCGTACATATTCATGACATTTTGGATAGAATTTGTGACAAAATGGCTACTCCCAGGCTATATCTCTTTTGTCTTTATATCGGGTATTGCTAGAAAAACTAGTTTCTGGGTGAAATTATATGTCACATATGAAGGAGGTAATTTAATTTATACTTGAATAACATGTATTACTCATTTCTGAGTAAATTCTATGCTGAAGAAGTAGTGAAGAAGTTCAATATCATTGTTAATGTTTTATGTGGAGTGGTAGTCATTGTCCCTGGGTCGTTGCTAATTGTGAGTACTATTCATACACTTTATTTTAGGGGAGTACAAGTTTCTTTTAACTTCATTCTATATTCTGTATAATCACTGCTACCCACCTAGTTACACAGACGTATCGTCAGTGTATCATGGCGGAACTACTTCCGGGACTAGGTTTCGGTAAGATTTTTTTATTTCCCGATTTACACCTACTTATAAGTCACGTTGTGGATAATAATTTGCCTCGAAGTTAAGGAAGATAGTCTTGTTTGAGAATGTGTCGATGGTTTTAGGTTTTATATGTTAACAAAGGCACAATTCAGGTATTTAGTCCCTCGCTTTTGTTACACTGACGAACGACCAATATCAGTGTAATATTGGCAATATTAATGCCGGTCGTCAGTGTAACAAAAGCGAGGGACTAAATATGTGAAATGCGTCTTCGTTAACATACCAAACCTAAAACCATCGACACATTCTCAAACTAGATTATCTCCCATAACTTCGAGCCAAATTATAATCCACATCGTGACTTATAAGTAGATGTAAATCGAGAAATAAAAATATCTTACCAAATTCAAATCCCGGAAGTAGTTCAGCCATGATACACTGACGATACGTCTGTGTAACTAGGTGGGTAGTAGTGATAATATTTGCAATTTTATAAAAGGTATTCCTTTCAAATAATGCACTCTGTGATGCTATATTGTTTTTTTTATGTGAGGCGCATCCTATAACGTTTGATTAATCCAAGTTTTTATGTGCACACGATCCTAACTTCGACCGTTAATTTGAATTTTTGACCTACCGGATGTTTGAAAATCAAGGATTATGAGTCTCATTCTGCACCGTTTTTCTTCAAACTTGTTCCATTCAAAGCATAACAAAAATCCCTTTCTGATGGTACATTATTCTCTTAATAAGAGACCCTACTTCCAGCGGCATTTTGGTCCCCAGCTGTAAGAAGGCCTTCCGACAGCTGGGGACCAAAACGCTGCGTGAACGAGGGACTCTTTACAATCAAGTAATGTACCGACAGAAAGGCAATTTTGTTTTGCTTTTAATGGTATAAGTTTGAAGAAAAACGGTGCAGTATGAGACTCGCAATCCTTGATTTTCAAGCACCTGGTAGGTCAAAAATTCAAATTAACGGTCGAAGTTAGTACCGCGTGATGTGGAGTATCAGGTTTTTTGAGTGCATTTTATACAGTACCACATAATAAGCGAGGAATATACTATACTGAAGAAGTTGTTATATCAGTTACGATTAATATGTGAGGTATTCGTGTTTGTGAGTATATTCATGAGGCTATTATGTTTTTGATTTTTCATGTGAGATGTTACTTTTTTGCGAATGCATTATGTTAGGCAATATTACCTGTGATTTATAAACGAATTATTAGTTCTATATAAGAGCTTTCATGAGAGGATTGGTTTATGCGAGTGAATCCAAATGCTATAGTCACTGATTTTTATTTGAGGTATTCTGTTTTGTTTAATGAACAGTGTTCCTTTTTGTAGAATAGTTTCTGGATTTTGCGACCGTTTAAGTTTATGTACTCGAGATGCTGAAGGATGTGGGGATTATTTTAGGCATTGTCAATTAAATTGCTAAAACTGAAGGCTTTAGGTTTGCAGTGGGATGCTGACATTTTTAAACGTTAAACGAATTATAATATCTATCTCAAAGCATTAAGACCAAATTCTAAATATTGTATATCTAATATACTATTAGTATTCTTATGAGTATTGGCTCACAATTTGTATTTTTATTCAATTTGTGTTGTAATGACTCGAGTATAATGATGTGCTACTTGGTGTAATGGTCTGGGAATGATGTTTATACTTAGCTCGTGGGTCGGGAGGGGTTGATAGACGTTTGACTTTGGGATTGCTAGTGTTTCTTATGTCACCACCAAGAATGGTATGACATATTGTTATAGTTTCCAACATAAAGTCCATTGACAGTACATATTCGGCGTTCGGTGTATGTAACGAATATGCGTTGGCATTTTGCATGTTTTATATTAGTATACTCTTGAACACATTCCATTTGTTGCTGTGCCTTTTCCATTTCCACTTGTGCGTTCATGTTTTGTTACTTCAGAATTCTGATTTTTTATTAATGTGTAACAAACAGTATAATATAACAACAATTATATTTGTCACTGCGATGCATTACATCGATTCATCTTTACATTATTGCCGACATTTCTCAAAGATCCATGTAGTCAAATGTTGAAGATATGGTTCTTATATAAGCAACCAATTCATGTTCAACCATATGCAACAATTTTCAATCGCAGACGGTATCACACAAGGAAGATCAATGGGTCTCCCTTTATTGGCAATTGACCCCTGAATACGGCTGTCCATATCTCAAAATGTATTACAACTAATTTAGTAAAAAACTGACATATTATAACCATATGTTATTCACAGGTAATAAAGGTGCCAATATATTGATTGCTTCACCAATATCTCCAAAACGACATAAAATGTTGAAACCTTGATTTTTTATATATAAGGTATTTCAAGGAACACATACCGCAAAATTATAGCCAAGAAACTTGATGTATATATTAAAAATATTTTCATGTGATTTTCTTTTAATGTTTGTACTTTAAATTATGAAAAAAATACGAAAAACTTTTTACACGTTTTTTGACCTCTGATAATGACATGCATTATTCGGCCTAAAAGCCCGCCGTATTTATCACGGCTATACAAAAATAAAACGCGGGACACATGTAGGTATCTAAATATAAGCTCAAATATCATTATGCAGATATGGTGCCACCAACTCCTTAATTAGACGTCCTAGAAATTTCATACCGTGGACTAATAGTATAGACTCAAAGACCCACCATAGAGTACAGTACAGATTTTAAATCTACTAGTGAATATAGTATAGACTCGACTAAAATCCACCATAGTACAGATTTTAAATCCGCTAGTGAATATAGTATAGACTCTAAAACCCACCATAGAGTACAGTACAGATTTTAAACCCACTAGTGCATATAGTATAGACTCTAAAACCCAACACAAAAGTTTGTTTATTTTTTCTGCAGTAACCGTGACCCAAAAAGTCTGTCATCTGATCCCCACTCCAATATTTATGATACACTATTTAAATCAGATTTACTGCAGAAACAATATTATAAGTCATTGAATGATTTGAAGTGCAATACAGGATATATTCTGCTCGAGAAATTCTGTATTGGAACGAGACAAAGTCGAGTGCCAATACAGAATCATTTCATTCAATAATGTTTTTATTGTGTGATGTTCTGTATTGCTACTGAGATTGTCCCCTCTGTATCAATATTTTCTGTATTGCGACGGAGATGATCAACGGGGACAATCTCAGTAGCAATACAGATTGGTACAGCACAAAAACTGACCAATCAGAAGGCTTCATTTTACAGATCATACAATAAAAAATGATACTGCTGGTTTACAATAAAGGGAATGAGTTTTGTTCATTTGAACCACAGTTTCGCTGACCCAGCCTCCATTTGAATGCTTCTGTCGTCATGGAGATTTAAATTCTGGCTTCAGTAAAATGTATTTTTAAAACATGGAGATATATTCTTGTCATAGTTGAATATGAATGCAAACATTATAAGCAATAAAAAATTTCTTATAACCAGAGAGTAATAATAATTTCCAAAAACTAATAAACTCCAGGATGACTAGATCTGTTACAACCTGAAGCAAAGTTGAAACAAAGTTGAAAACAAGTGAGAGAAACCTGAACCTCTTCTAGGGAATAAGCTCTTATTAATAGATTGTTGAAGTGTTTTCAGTGACGCAAAAAGGAAAAAGGTGCTCATATTCATAGTTTTACTTCTTGAACTATATTCATAGTTTTACTTCTTGAACCCTCATGCTTACATAAATTCTTCTTATGCGTGATATGTCTCATGTATATTCGTTCTTATATAAGTTGAAGTCGTGTGTTGGGATTTCTTATGAAATTGGATTTTATCACAGTTCACCTTTTCACCCCTGTATAGTTGAATGAAAGAATAGAATCTCTTGGCCATTAGGCTTCCGAGGAAAGTGATTTTTGTGAAAACATATTGTTCAAACATTTTTTAACCAGAAGGTTGTTCAATTGTAGTACTGTAGTATTATGTAATATTTAACCTAAATTTTCTTCACCTAACCTATTTGAATTTGCCTTACCTATTTAGATTTGCCTCACCTATTTGATTTTGCCTTACCTATTTAGATTTGCCTCACCTATTCACATTTGCCTCACCTATTTACATTTGCCTCACCTATTTGCATTTGCCTCACCTATTTAGATTTGCCTCAGCTATTAAGATTTGCCTCACCTATTAACATTTGCCTCGCCTATTTAGATTTGCCTCACCTATTCTCATTTGCCTTACCTATTTACATTTGCCTCACCTATTCACATTTGCCTTGCCTATTTACATTTGCCTCAACTATTGGCATTTGCCTCACCTATTGGCATTTGCCTCATCTATTTACATTTGCCTCACCTATTTACACTTGCCTCACCTATTTATATTTGCCTCACATATGTACATTTGCCTCAACTATATACATTTGCCTCAACTATATACATTCGCCTTATCTCTTTACACTTGCCTCACCTATTTGCATTTGCCTCACCTTTTTATATTTGCCTCACTTCTTTACACTTGTCTCATCTATTTACATTTGCCTCACATATTTATATTTGCCTATTTACATTTGCCTCAACTATTTGAATTTGTCTCACCTATTGGCATTTGCCTTATCTCTTTACACTTGCCTCACCTATTTGCATTTGCCTCACCTTTTTAAATTTGCCTCACTTATTTACATTTGCCTCACCTATTTACACTTGCCTCACCTATTCACATTTGCCTACTGCCTTGCCTATATACATTTGCCTCACCTATTTGAATTTACTCATTACATTTTATGTTATACAATCAATGACCTCTCTATACTGTATATGTTGATTTTGATTTATTCTCTAATACAGTGAGCTACACCTGGCTGCCACCTGGCCTAGTATATCAGAGGAAATGGTGGTTGACAATGCGAACTACAGTGACCTTGACCCGCTTCAAGCACCTGTGTGGTCTGTGCGCCTCAAACTCACGGATGATCCACAGTGCCTTATGGGTAAGTTTTACTTCGTATATATATTTTTGTCATTTTTGTCGCCATTTTTTCTAAAAAGATACGAAAAATCTGAATTATGCTTTGTCCTAATATGGTCTACAAATTTGATTGCAGTCTTTGATAGGGGATCATTTATCTTTTTTAGTGTTCTAAATCCACCATACTATTTCAAGACCTCATGATCTCAAGCCTCTATACTGCTCGTCCCATAAAAGGCATTACTACTCGCTTATTGTCATACTTGATGGAGATAAAATATGCTTTCAAATGGCGACAAAAATGACCCATCAACAGAATATGACATTATTTTTTAAAAGGTTGTAACAATGAAATTAATGAGGCATTTACCATATAAAAAAATTTGTATGTTAGGAATTCTTTAAAGTTTATTCTGTGAAAACTTCATGAAAAAATATTCAAAATTGAGAAAGTTATTGAGAAAATAGAGAGGCATGATTTGTTCTGGCCAGGCTACTAAGTAATTGTTAATTAACAGAATATTGTACAAGAAAGTCATTGATGTTGGTCAGTATTTTTAGTTAACATGTGTCAACTAACTATAAAGGGATGGGAGCATTCCCCTGATATTTATTCTATTCTTTGATGCAATCTGAGCTTTTGTTTTTTACATTTTAGGAGAGTATTTACGTGACTTCCTGAGATTATGTCGACGCAAAGAGAGCCTTGATCAGTTGCTTCCAAACTTCTCATTGGACGACTCAGAGACAGGTACATTTAACCAAATATGGGCAAGGGGTGTGGGTAGATTCCGACAATACGTTAAGTTTTCAGAATTTAAATGCCCAGGTACTAAGCAGACCCTGTGATTCCATGATTATTTTGTATCGTAGCTAAGGCACATTGCACAAGGTTTATGTATTTAAGTGAACCCAGGGGTATGTTCAGCTCAATGCAGTTTGTTGAGGTCTGGTAAGTGCTCAGAAATGATCGTGAACACATTTTTCAACTTTTTGAAAATTGGGTTGTTCATCAATACATCAAAATTTTAAGCCTGCGTTGTATACAAGTTTTCTATCCAGTGTTATATCTTTTACATAGAGTTGCCAGCTACACAAGCCCTAGACAAACTAACCAAGCCTGCCATGGGTTACAAGTTGTCCTCCATGACATCCATTTCCAATGCAGTGTCTAAAGCCAGCACACGACTTAAGCACCAAACCACTGAGGAGGCACCCATAAGAGGGGAGCTGCTCAATAAGATCCTTTTGGTGAGTTTCCTCGTAAAATATTCACTCTATGGGGCCTTGTGAATTAATTGTAAGCTAGCCTCTGCTCAGTTGGGCCACCAATACCTCCCAGGTCAAACCTTTTACTTCTTAGGATTTTATGAGGTTTTGTAATTGCCTTTTGCAAGATGGCTGTTTAATCAAGTATGTTTTAGATTTTGCTATAAACATGTTATTTTGTTTTCAGTTTTTATTCCCTGATGCCCAGGTGGAGACTGCTGACCTCCCTCTGGTTGTACCAGTTGCAGAGGGCGAAGAAAACAAAAATACTGCTATAGAGACAGAGATAAAGGTATGCATTAAAACCTGTATATCTCTCACTTCCGTTTGATTCTCCACTTGGCCACGTATCTGCCGAACTAGAGGCTATTGTCTTCCAAAGCTGGCAACAAACCATTTGGAACGACGGAAACCGCCCAGCAGGCCAAGGAAATAAGTTAAGAACATACAGAACTTTCAAGCTGGATTTACAACCGGAATTCTACCTAGCATCTCATATTTCCATTCGCGACCGGAAAGCATTAGCCTCTTTGAGATGTGGCGTTGCTCCGCTACGTTTGGAAACGGGGCGTTACGAACGACTGTCAGTTCCAGAGAGACTGTGTTATTTTTGTGATGTTAATGCCATTGAAAATGAACACCATTTCTTGTTAAAATGTCCGTTTTATTCTAGTATCAGAAATGATTTATTTTCCAAGGTTCAGAATAAAATTACAAACTTTCAAAGACTTACTGACGATGAGAAGTTCTATATCTTGATGTCAAATCATGAGATTGCTGTTTATGTGGCAAAGGCCTGTGGCCAAATGTTTAAAAAAAGAGAACATAAACTGTACAGTTAATTTTGATGAATATCGTTTTATACATAGTGTCTTATAGGCCGAACACGGCCTGGGGTAAGAATATTGAATGCTTTTAATACGTTTGAATTTTATTACCATTTGTATTTTAGCTACATGTTTGTATTAATATATGCCCAGGACACTTTAATAAATTTGACAAATACAAAAAAAAAAAAAAAAATATCTGAACACCTCTTTATTCTGAACACCTCTTTAAGTGAACACTTTTAGGTCCCAGTTTCTAATTGGCCATAAATTACCATATTTAAAACTTTGAAATGTGTATGCCTGGCAATCTGAACAATTTTTGTTGGCACGTCCAAGTGATGTTCGGGTGACGTTCTGTTGTATTTTAGCATCTATCGCAACTGAAATTTGCCCCTTTTGAAAGTATTATACCACAATTTGGCTGTTTGTATATGTCTGATACACCACTGTTGTATTTAAGCATCTTCTACACCAACTGAAGTCTGCCCCCGTTGAAAGTATTACCCACAATTTGGCTGTTTGTATATGTCTGATACACCACTGTTGTATTTTAGCATCTTCTACACCAACTGAAGTCTGCCCCCGTTGAAAGTATTACCCACAAATTGGCTGTTTGTATGTGTCTGATACACCACTGTTGTATTTTAGCATCTTCTACACCAACTGAAGTCTGCCCCTGTTGAAAGTATTACCCACTAATTGGCAGTTTGTATGTGTCTGATACACCACTGTTGTATTGTAGCATTTTCTACACCAACTGAAATCTGCCCCTGTTGAAAGTATTACCCACAAATGGGCAGTTTGTATGTGTCTGATACGCCACTGTTTTTTTAGCATCTTCTACACCAACTGAAATCTGCCCCTGTTGAAAGTGTTACCCACAAATTGGCAGTTTGTATGTGTCTAGTGCACCATAGCTATGGAGGGCTTAAGGCAGTAGCACATCTGTGGCAGGAGTTTGTGCTTGAGATGAGATACAGATGGGAAAATAATTACTACATTCCATTGTGAGTACATGTAAAAGTATAAACTTTGTTGTACTTTGAAGAGAAATAGTTTGCATTTAACTAATTGCTATACACATGAATAGATGGCAGTACTTGTATTGCTTAGACTACATGTACATGTATATACCAGCATGCTCAATGAAATAAAACTCACAAAAGTCTATTATATTTGATTTGTAAAATATTTCCAAATATGTAAAATGCCTTTAGCAAGCAACTATATGATCTTATGACATGCAGATTGTGATTTAACATATTTTAGATATTTTATTTAACATCGTTTCAATGGGGATTTAGCCCATCTTATATCAAAATTAAAAAATGATGGTGGTTTGCACAGTCATTTTGTTTTGTCTTTCTGACCTGTCATCAATCATCACCATTTTCCAAGTTCTCAGTCATTGAAAAACTTTTGTTCGTGTATCAGATAGTTTCTACATATATTTAGTACAGGAGCTGTGTTTACTATTTTCGTGTGATTACTGTTTTTTATTGTAATTTCAGGTTAGATAAAAGTATACCAAACATGGGGTGTAGCCTAATTCACCAAAAACTCCAAATGCTGAACTGTTGCATCGAGAGAAAAGTCAAACGAGAGGCCAAATTAGCAGAAGTTAATAGCGGTATATTACATGCTTCAGCTAGCACTAGTAGCATTAACACTGGCAAACCTGGAGATATGGACTACATAGAAACGAGCAATGTTACCGAGGAGACAAACAATGTTGCCATGGAAACGGACAATATTACCATGGAAACTGCAGTGCAATCAGATGCTGAAAGCTCAACAGATGATGAAGAATTCTTTGAATGCAATGAAAATTCAAGTGAAACATCGACAAAATCGAACCAATCAAAACAGTCAGATTTTAAAACAATAAATGAAAGTTCGACATCTCAAAATAAAAACTCGGATTCAGATGCTGCTTCAGAATCTGACATACCTGAGAAAATATCAGAATCTTCAAATCCATCTAGTCAAATTCCGCCAACTAAAACCCCCATAAGTCCTATTAAACCAGATGGAAGGTTAAGGCAGTGTGGAGATCTGCTTATACTGGATACAGAAATACCGTTATATATACCTGTGACCCAAGAACCTGCCCCTATGACGGAAGATATGTTGGAACAACATGCAGAGGTGCTCACAAAACTTGGCTCTACCTCGGAGGGCTCACATTTACGGGCCAAAATGCAAAGTACTTGTTTACTTTCTGATATGGAGTCGTTCAAGGTGAGTGTTTGCAAGGTTCTGTGCTACAGGGTGATACCCAAAAAATGTAACACAATATTTAGGAAATACTTTATCAAGTGTGCTGGAATCTACATTGAGTACATAAAAATGGGGATGTTCTTATCTTGAATCAACAGTTTTAATTCGAGAATCCCCTTTTAATTGCACTTTCCTAATACATGGCAGCCATTTTAATACAAAGTGTAACATTTATGACGCAATAATTTGTTGGTCATCAATATAAAAAACTTTGACACTCTCTAGCCAATGGAATGAATTAAGCACTTCCTAGTTTAGCAGTTGGGCACTTTAAGATCCAAGTCACTCACTTTTTCACAGGGTCAGCTGGCAATGTGCCTAGCCAACAATATGCAGTAGCTCATTGGTCATTGGATGTCTACGAGCCAATGTAAATCAATTAGTATACTCCCACCAGGAGAACACAATTGTTATTTTGAAAAATGTCATAATTCATTTGTCGAAAAACATCATTACACTTATTAGCACATATTTTTTTGATCAATGTGAAGTCAACAAGAGCTTGTGACCTTTTTATGTTACATCAGTTTGCAATAAATGAATTAGCACATATTTTTTGATCAATGAGTAGGCAACAAGGACACAATATTCAATGAAGGATTCAAACAACAAAAATATTATGCTATAAATAACAGGCAAACAAAAAAAACAGAAACTCACAGGTTGTTTCTATAAAATCTCCCAAGTTGTATTAATTTCCCTAAATTTTCAGGTACATGAAATTTATGGATGACAATATAATGATATCGACAGTTCCATTTCAAAAACACCCACTCACTTTTCAACACACATACTTCATAGTCAATATAAAAGAAATCAAATTTTTCAAAAATTGGACATGGACCATTTACCTTTCATAAGAGTCAATGTGGGGTTTAACTTAGATAAACCATACATACTGGATCTTGCGAGTGTTTGAAAAAATAAACAAATAAATATTGCACTTTTATTGTCATCTTCCCTGCTGCTAGTCATGTGTGAGCAGCCACATAAATCTTGTTTGTAAAATTTCACAAAAAATAAATTTTTACAGACACAATAACAGACTTATGTAATGATCTGATTGGGTTGGGTAAATGACATGACTAATTTGGTGGCCATTTTTCTCTTCAAAGTACGATATTCATCATTTTGTGTGTTTTTGTTCCCTTTATCATAAAAAGTCCTCATACCTTGTACCCATCGAGTGTATTAACTTTACATTATGAATTAATTAAATTACATTCCAGGCTGCCAATCCTGGTTGTACTTTGAAGGACTTTGTTCGCTGGTATTCTCCTAGGGACTGGATAGAAGAAAAAGAGACCCAAACTGATGGATCAATTATAATTATAGGTAAAAAGATTTATAGCAAGAATTTTCATTATTATGTCACCACAACAATTGGTGACATAGCCTCAAACTTTTTTGTGGATGGTGTTTGATGGTTGTTGTCCTGCATTCAATTGTTAAGTGGTCAGTATCTGGAATAAATGAATTTGGCACAGAGTTCAACTTTTTCATGCAGAATTTCTGCGCAGAATTTGCATTTTTCTCATGCAGAAAACTAGGATGTGTGGAAAACATATATTATGTCATAACATAAAAGAGTCTATCCATATTTGCAGGACAGCTGAGTGCCAGGATGCAGATTGCCAACAATATGTGGCTGGAAGTATGGGCCAGTGCCAAACCCATACCAGCCCATAGGCAGAAAAGACTCTTTGATGACACCAAAGAGGCTGAAAAGGTAAAGTAAACCTGTTTAGTGCTCAATCAGTCAATGACGTCACGTAAGCACATACACGTGAGATATTGAAGATTAACTTTTTGAGAATTAATTGAGTATTAAGAATCCTATTAATTTATATTTTTAATTCGCACCTCTAATTTATATATACAAGGTGGGCCAAACCCCCCCCCCCTAGCCAATATTCCTGATCAATATTTTTTTTAACAATCACACTAACAATGATATATCATATTAAAGATAATTTAATTTGCAACAAAGTGATATATAATAGCACCATTTTCAACAACCCCATATAGAAATATAATCAATTATGTGACATGGGGGTCAAAAAACAATAGCCTATTTCTACCAAATTTTACTGTTACTTTTATGTATAATATATTAATAGGCTTGTTGAATCTAAGTATAATCTCTTTCCAGGTGCTACACTTCTTAGCTGCGTTGAAACCTGCTGATGCTGCGATTCACCTGCTGCCAATGTTGATGCATGCTGCTATTCTTCGTCTCTGCAAGACAGACGAAATCCCCACCCCCTCCCTGGTGAAAATCCTCACCCAGGCGACAACCAAAGCAGCCAGAATCACGCGCGATTCTTCCAGCTCACTCAGGTCTTACGAGGTAATGACCATTGCATACTGGCTTAGGAATTTTGAAATCTTTAACGTGTTAAGTTTTGAAAAAATTTCAAAAGTATATATATACCTTATATTATCCCACCCTAAGTGCTTTATATGATTGTATAATAGCATTGTATAACTGCAATATAAATCCACCACCCATCGTATACAACTCTAGAGAACGATATACAACTCCTGGATAGCGTCACTCGTGAATATATCATATACTCACTTAAGTATAAACACGATATACAGAATCAACCATTATATAACCTCATATTATTGAATAAGGTGTTTTAAATGCAATGATTAATTTTTATTAAAGGCATCCTGAATCAATTTGAAATTATGAATTATTGTTAAAGTATAATACATCAGACAGTAATTGTTGCAACTTAGGTAGTTTCCATTAAATACACAATCTGTTTATTTTCAGGAGGTTGTACAGCATATTTCTCTCGCTGAGACTTTCGTTGCTCGCGGTGAGTCGATACGTTGCAAGTTCAAACAGGAAGTGACATCATCAGAGAGCTCGGAGATACAAACAACCCGAGAAAAATTTATACGTAGTCTGTTAGAGCTTCCAGAAGTTCCTGTTATAGGTAGGTTCACTGTAGCGTCATTTACATACCTTGCAATGGCATTATATTTGAATCAGTCGAAGAATATGTGAGAGTCAGGGTCGTAACAAAACATGCCGCTTGGGAGATTTTCCAAATGACCTGAGCTCAACTGTTTTGTAACATCCCCTGGTTTCAGATATGTACAAATAGGAATCCATTAGTTTAGTAAGATAAGAGGAAAAGAAAACATATGTTTCACTATAACAATAATGAAGTGACCTTTGCAGTACATGTAATTAGAAATCCGAGCGCTGAAGCTTTGAAACAATTGGTGCATGTATACATTATCACAAAGAATGCAATCAGGAGTACAAGCTGTGGGCTTTACATTCATTCTAATATAGAATGGTGTTATGTATTCAGTTGCATGTCTTGAAGTACGGTGCCTATATTTCCTGAAGCATCATGTCTATATTTAGTAGTAAACCTGGTTGTCTAATTTAACCACTTTGAATCAATACTTGACAATGTAACATAAATGAAGTACAACCAGACATCAGAAGAACAAACACCAACATCCCAAACAATGATATTGCAGTTTTCTCCCTTGTACTGAATCAGTCAGTCGAGATAGAATTTTGCTCAAATTTGAGAAGATTAGGCACTGAAATAAAAATACCAGGTCATTCAATAAGTTCGCAGAAAAATACTCGCATTTAAAAAACTTGATATTTTTTAATGAAATTTACTCACAACATCCAAAAAATATCAGGTATGTTAAAGGTGCAACAATTAGTGCAGAGGGGCCATTCAACAATCATGGACCAGCGTCAAAATATATTTAAGTTTGGATATTTCATCAAGACTAACATATATTTTTATTATCTACAAAGAAACCCCCTGGATGAACATTATTTAAGCTGATATTCCTCTTGAAACGTGGTGAATCTTAAAAATCTATAAGTGGGACTCCCTTTATAAAAGTATTGAACTGAATTTACACTTCTTAATGCTGAAATTGAGAGTTTATCCATACATTTTAAGAAAATAGGTATGTTAAAGAAGATGTTAAGCCAAATGATAGCTCAGAAAAAATAAAAAAAATCTAATTTTCTCTCTACAGTCCTTGTTGCCCCTTTAAGTATCTTTATTTTTTAACAAGTAACCTGTTAAATGCCCAGCTCCCCCTAATACAGGACCCCCCCCTCAATGTCAGCCTGTATACATGTATCTGTATTGGCAAAACTCGGGTATGTGTCGTGTCAGTTCTAAATAGTCACCTCTAAATATTGTTCATATCTTGACAGGGCATTAATTTTTGGAAATGTATGTATGATTTAGTCACATTGCATTGCTCATTTAAAAAGCAGTGTTTTTTCAGAATTATTTCTTATATATCGTTCCAAAAAAGAACCATTGGATTATAAACTGAGAGCAATTATTATGTGTTTTTCAGCAAGAATGTAAATAACATATAAAAGGTTTCTCAGACAGGAAATTCATTAATTTATTAAAAAAAAGTTAAAGTTTAAAAATATCATTTCAATCGGCTACTTACAGTTTTTGGTTTGTCCTGAGTTCACGCAACGAGGTTCTGAGGTTTCAATGCCAAAAACGCCTCTTTTATATCTTAATTTTGAGGTGGGCAGAGCCAAAATATGAGGTCTTATCCAATAAAATATTAGGAAATCACATTAACTAAAAAAGGCCTAAAAATAAATGTTTAATTTTATAAAATGTCAATAAGAAATAGTGATGATTTTCTGCCCACACAGCTTGAATGTTTACTGAGAATCTGAGAATTTGGAAGATTTTGGTGGGAAAGGAATGTCTAGACAAAACCTCTGAGCCTCGTCTCATGAACTCTGGATGTATAATTTAATTATCTAATTTAATTCATTATCTAATTTATGTCCAAAACACATATTTATAAGTAAATTTTCCCCCTAAAAAGTATACAATTATTCGTAAAGTGTGATGTAGATATAAAGGTATAAACATTTGCAAAGCATATACAGCAGTATTGGTGTTTTGGTCAGTTGTACTCCAGGACTTTAAATTTTATCGCTTTTTATGTTGTTTACCCGAAATTTGCAGGATTCAAGATGATGCCAAAAACTATCGAAACTTATAAAGATCTGAACTAAACATTACAAAATTTCACATCAGTTGACTTCATATATCATTGTCTGTCACTCATATCTCAAGAACAATCCTTTCATTTGATTGGCTCTAGAAATAGTTCATGCCTAAAATTGCTCTAATATGATGATAAAACATTGGAAATTAAACTGTTGATATTGTGAAATATCACACTGGGTTCAAAGATCACTAAAAACTGTTATAACACAAATATAAACTAATCAAAATAACGCAATAATTATAAACATGAGTAACAAAAGATCATTATGACATCAACTGATGTGAAGTGAATAAAGTAGACTGACCAACGAGGTCAGCTATGACTTTGTCACATTATTATACACGAGCCAAAAATGTCATGTAAGCCTTCAGGCTTGTATACTCCCCATTATGCACAAGCCCAAAATGTCATGTAAGCCTTCAGGCTTGTATACTCCCCATTATCCACAAGCCAAAAAATGTCATGTAAGCCTTCAGGCTTGTATACTCCCCGTTAAACACAAGCCCAAAAAATGCCAGTGGCCTTCAGGCTTGTATACTCCCCATTATACACAAGCCCAAAATGTCATGTAAGCCTTCAGGCTTGTATACTCCACATTATACACGAGCTAAAAATGTCATGTAAGCCTTCAGGCTTGTATACTCCACATTATACACAAGCCCAAAATGTCATGTAAGCCTTCAGGCTTGTATATTCCACATTATACACAAGCCTAAAAATGTCATGTAAGCCTTCAGGCTTGTATACTCCCCATTATACACAAGCCCAAAATGTCATGTAAGCCTTCAGGCTTGTATACTCCCCATTATACACAAGCCCAAAATGTCATGTAAGCCTTCAGGCTTGTATACTCCACATTATACACGAGCCAAAAATTTCATGTAAGCCTTCAGGCTTGCATACTCCACATTATACACGAGCCAAAAATGTCATGTAAGCCTTCAGGCTTGTATACTCCACATTATACACGAGCCAAAAATGTCATGTAAGCCTTCAGGCTTGTATACTCCACATTATACACGAGCCAAAAAATGTCATGTAACCCTTCAGGCTTGTATACTCCACATTATACACGAGCCAAAAAATGTCATGTAAGCCTTCAAGGCTTGTATTTCATAAATCTAAATGTATAATATCGTACTCATGTACATATTGATACTGTTTTGTAATAAATGTGAATAATATAAATTAAGATAACATAAAAATATCTAAATAATCTAGGTAATTATAGCTTTGCCCAAGTCAGTCTCTTTTACTTAACTTGATTTCTATTATGACCATTCAAGATCAGGATAAGTAAAAAAATACTGACTTGGGCAAGGCTAAGGTAATTAGGGAGATCTGTGATTCTGTGTAAATGGGTCATTAATTCCCATATTGGGGTCATTGACTAACTATTAAAAGATTTCACGAGCAATTATCTTTGTAATGCAGGTGCAGCCAGAGGACCAGAGGGAAAGATTATTCATAAACTATTCGCAGAGGCAGAGAAGGTAAGAATAAGTTCAAATGAGGCCAATAAGTATTACTTGTTATAATGCCTCTATTCTTCATGACTGTGTTTCACAGACAAAGGAACGTGATCTTACATTTGTTATGCATAGTGTAGAGTTAAACCTGATTTCTGTTCATTATCCCACTGAACGAAGTTCGTGGGGGATATAAAGAAGCCGTCCGTCCTTTCGTCCGTCTGTTTGTCCGTGTGTCCGGGCGATAACTCCAATACCGGTTGACGGATTTGGTTCAAATTTTATAAGCTTATGCCTTATGAGTGTAGGACCTCTGCTCGAGAAGGAATTTTCAATATGGCCGCTCAATTCAAAATGGCCGCCATTTTTTGTAAAAAATGTAATTGTTGATAACTCAAATACAAGTTGACGGATTTGGTTCAAATTTTATATGCTGATGCCTAGGGACAAAGGAGTTTCGCTCAAAAAGAGATTTTCAAGATGGCCGTTTGATTTCAAAATGGCGGCCATTTTCGTAAAAAGATGTAATCTTTGATAACTCAAATACCAGTGAACAGATTTGGTTCAAATTTTATATGATGATGCTTAGGGACACAGTAGCTATGTTCGACAAAAATTTTTCAAGATGGCCACTTAATTTCAAAATGGCGGCAATTTTTCGTAAAAAACGTAATCTTTGATAACTCAAATACCAGTGAACAGATTTGGTTGAAATTTAATATGATTATGCCTAGGGACACAGTAGCTCTGTTCAAGAAATAATTTTCAACATGGCGGCTGAATTTCAAGATGGCGGCCAATTTTCGTAAAAAACGTAATCTTTGATAACTCATATACCAGTGAACGGATTTGGTTCAAATTTTATATGATGATGCCTAGTTCACAATGGTATAAACTAACTTTGTGCCAAATTTCATGCTTCTATCACAAAGTGCACAAACATTTCAACATTTACACTAGCTATAATAAGCATAATATGTTTTGTTCGATGGGATTTGCTACTCCGTGGAGTTGCTGTTTTTCAAGTTCATCTGAGACTTCTTGTAGAGTTTTTACATGGGGTCAAGTTTTGCTATGTCACAGAATAAAGCAGAATTTATGCAGACAAAAAAAACTATGCAACGCATTATTTGTGTTGGTGGAATTTTTTATGTCACTTGGTAAAATGTATTCTATAATTTACAGTGCGTCTCAAAAAAAACGCAACAAACAAAAACATTGTAATACCACAAATCCAGTGATAATTACATTAATTTAATTTAATTTAAAGTAAAGCCACATGTCTCTTCCTTCCAATGATATGTCTATATACGATTATGGACCTCTGAATAATCATTATTTCTTCGCACATGGGTGAAAATGCCCTTGTGCCAAGTTTGAAACATACTAATTCAACTGATCCTTATTATGCAATTGGGTAAATCATTATGTAATTGTAGCTGAGAATTAAGTTTTGGTCACAAGACTTACATGACATACATTTCATACTTAGTTCTACCAAGAAAAAATGTTTTCACTTAATGGTTTTCACCATTCTGAGCATTTTTTAATTCATTGTGGCCATTTTTGGACCAAAATTGTCAAAACTGAACACTTGTATGATTATTTGTTGGTCTGTGGCCACATTTGAATAAATGATATATCATTAGAAAGAAGAGACATGTGGCTTCATGATCACTAATCGGAACCAATGAAGGTGTCACTGGTTTTGTGATTTGCAATGTTTTTGTTTGTTGCGTTTTTTTGAGACACACTATATTCCAGTATCTTTCTACATATTCCAATGCCTTTCTATTGTTCCAATGTCTTTTTCAGTAATTCATTATATGTTCAAATGTCTTTCTATTTATTTAACTATATTTTTCAGGCCTCCAATGACTTAGATGTTGATGTAGCCCCAAGCTTAGAAAATCAACCTCCCTCAGGTGGAGATTTCCCTAAACCTGCTGGCAGGGAGTATATTCTGCGTACAGAAGTGCCTCGCCCTGCTCCCTACTCCAAGCCTTCCCCCCAGAGACTTCATTGTACATTGTTGAACAATGAGTTTAGACTCGCTGGAGCTTTCACGGAGGATACAACCTTTCAATGAGGATAGATCAGTTTTACATGGAGGATAAACCTTTTTTGGAAGATACAAACTCTCATGGAGGATACAACTTTTGATTGAGCATACCACCTTTAAATGAGGTGGAATAGTCCTCCATATTAGGTTATTTTTACATGGAGGATACAGCCTTTTTGGAGGATACAAACTTTCATGAAGTAGAGAATGTAACTTTTGATTAAGGATAAAATCTTTCATGGAGGATGTGACCTATTAATGAGTTTTTAATTACATTTCAATTGAAGTAGAACATATTAAGAGTAAGTGCAATATGGAATTGGAAATTGACTGCCAACATTACATGTAAATGTAATTTTGACGAAATTCTAGATGCTGTTGGTACCATGCTACCATAGAGGAAGAAATAATAAATGAATAAAGTGAGAACATTACATTGACCAATCAGCATTCTTTTATTATCTTGAATGATAAGTAATCGGGAAGTGGTTCAACTTTCAACTTTTCATGAGAATTTTGTTATTTATTACTTGTATAATACTATAGTCGTCCTTTAGGCGCTGTTTCGATCACATTATCAATAACTATTTATTTTCTTATTGAACTGTCTTTAAATCGTAACACACATTAAATTACAACAATACAATATAGAATATATCCCTATGTAAGAGGAACTGCTTATTTTCATTGGTAGTAAACAAAATGTAATACAAGCCAAACAATCTGATATGGCAGCCATTTTGAAAAGTTGTAAAGTTAGTAATGGAGTGATTCTTAAAAATGGCTGCCAGAGTTAACTAGCGATTGTCTTGTTGACAGGATGTTCGATTTGATATTCACTATGCCATGGTTTTGCCCTATCTAGGTATTGTACAATATACATGTAATTGCCTATGGCAGGTACGATACTAAATGCAAATAACTGATGATCTGGTTAACTTTCAATTAGTCTTAGGTGCGATATTGCAAACTGTCATGTCCTAAGGTTCTTTCAAATCAATTAGATAACAAACATGTGATTTTGAGCTTCCTCGTCAATTGATCACCAGGACAACTCGTCTCCAAGACAACTCATTACAGTAGAACCTGTATATCTGAACACCTGACTAATCCGAACACCTCCAAATCTGAACACTTTTTTTCGGTCCCATTTTTTCATCCCATTGACTCCCATGTTAAAAAAACTTGAAATGTGAACACCTCTCAATTCGAACAGTGAACAGTCATATTTGAAAAATTACCCTGTCTAATCTGAACACTTTTCAAAAAATTTCACATCTATCATATGACATTGCTCAAGTATTGTTATGATATCAAAACTTTGGGAAAAAACTTAAATGGTCTTGATTACAATAGGACTTTCCAACATGACTAGATTGAATTTTCAAATTGAACAAATTTTCAATTGAACAAATTGTCTCTTGAAAAAATAAATCTTCCAAATTTGTTGAGTTTTCTTGCAGAAATTGCCTAATCCCCCTCCATCCATTTTGTACGATCACCGGCCGTGAACTTGCTGCCTTTCGCGATGGCCTCAGCAATCTAGCCAATATATCATAGCTTCTTTAATGCACCAAAACGTGTTAGGGTTTATTGAAAAGGTATATTTACACCTGTTAATTAACAATATGAATGTAGTCTCCAAGGTGTTAATGAACGTGCAAGACTGCAATGTGATACAAAAGATAATCACAGGTTGTTACATCCTTTCATCAGTTCATCACCCAAGTGAAATCCATACGACAAGAATACACGTGTAGATTACTCATGGAATCCACGCAGACTCAACGTGGCCAGTGTTGATCCATTTGAAAACATGAGTTTTGGGGTGTACCTTGTACCAGTTTAGGGATGAACCTTGTATTGCAAGTACAACAAGCTGACCGGGATGAATCAAATGATTTTGACTGGGAATGGTAGACAAAAGCTGTACGGGTATTCACCTTAGGAGAATGAAACACTTATACAAATATTATACAACAACAAAATTTATTTTATAGACCTAATATTATTTTTTATTTTACAATTTCAAATTATGGTAAAAAATTAGCTTTACAATGGTACATTAATATTTCCACAAAAATGTATAGTACATGTAATATAATACATACAAAGTTTTACTTCGAGAACCAATAAAAAGTTTTATTCTTACTACTGCCTATTCAAAGTGGATTCTACCAATAGCCTACACTCCCAAATGAATCTACTTGTTGAGACTCAATCAACTTTTTGAGAAAATGAGGATTTCAGCAAGGGTGTACTGACTTAACATGAAAATATTATCAACAATAGGCCTTCCTTAAGACCACCTATACACACATACTAGAATTCTGTGATTCCACGTCGCCGCAGAAAAAATGCAGAATTTGGGTTTTCAAAATTTTTGCAGAATTTGATTTTTTTGCACAGAATTTCTTGGAAAATTCAATTTTTCCCGTCAACCACCTCATCTCATATTTGTCACTCATCTTAACACCTTAAACAGTGAGTTGTTATGAAAAACTAGAGGATTTCCAAGGAGAAATGTGAAATATTGTTTCAAAATTCTCAAACTTCTGCCTTTTGCACTTAAAAGATTACATCTAATATGTTATGAAATTTGAATTCCCTGCAATTTCATGATAGTTCATATGAAGCCGTTGCTTGCAGAATTTATTGCGGAATTTGGGATTTCATGCAGAATTTGCATTTTTCCAATGCAGAAAACTAGTATGTGTGCTTTAGGCTTGAAGCAATTAGAATAGTTACAAAAAACATGATGTTATTATCAAGTTACAAGGCCAATAAGAAAACGGCAATTACATGTTCATTGCAAAACACCTGGACATATAATGAGTCGTCAAGGAATAACTGCTTCACGTGTATGATTTCCGCAAGCTGAACAACTCAAAATGAACAAACATGATAACATATAATTTCTACTATTGATTTCTACTATTGGCGAAATAAAATAATATTTACAATACTTATATAAATGCTCATATTTACAATTTTTATTAATACATGGTGCAGTGCTAAATATATCGCTGAAATACATATAGAATAGATAAATAGTATTATCTGACGTGTAATGACGTCATTCTTAGGATTGGAGGTATAACTTCCGACACTATTTTGTTTCATTTTGGGGTAACTTTAACACGCATGCCAAGTCCAACATACAGGGTAACTTCAACATACAGGGTAACTTCAACATACAGGGTAACTTCAACATACAGGGTAACTTCAACATACAGGGTAACTTCAACATACAGGGTAACTTCAACATACAGGGTAACTTCAACATACAGGGTAACTTCAACATACAGGATAACTTCAACATACAGGGTAACTTCAACATACAGGGTAACTTGAACTTGTTGTTTCTTATCTAAGGGAAGACTTTTTCTTGCAAGGATGGAGATATTTATTCATTTCACAATTGGACGGGGTGGAAAACGAAGTTTTAATAAAAACAAACCATGTTTTTTGTCAACTGATGGGATCTTGCATGATTTTATTTGATCTAAAATATGATACCAAATCAATGATCTAATAACTTATAAGTCTGAGTATCAAAATTACTGCATCGTCAAGTTAATTTACCCCATTAGTTGACATTACCCCCCCCCCCCACACACACACACACACACACACACACCCCTTTCATAATCTGATTACGACAGCTTAAAATATGGTACACACACACATACTACTATAAAACATGCCCATTTCATAAATGGATCATATTATTTATCAAAAATTCTGAATTTATTAGTCTTTTGCAAAATGATGAATTCATTTATTCAGAATTATATCCATTGATATTAATACTTAAAATAAATGAGTTACTGTAAACAATGATTTTTAGCAAAAACAAGAGAGTGAAATAAGCATGTTTTATAGTAATCGTAGGCTTACATAGTAAGATCTCTCATAAACAACCAGCTGACAAACTACTTTGTATGTCATCTTATATTGTATGTACTTTTACAATGTAATGAAGACAATAAAATGCACTGAGAAAGAAACACATCGAAAAAATAAAATATAATTAATTTTTCTGAAACTAGACGTTTCATCAACAATGTACTTTTAAATTTCAATTATTTCTGTTGCGGCCTGCTTCTCTACAAAAACGACCCCTGGCAATCAACTCTTAATGCTCAAATAATGATTTTTACATTAATTTCTTCCAAATGTTGTCTTGCCTACATTTCTTTTCTTAAATTCAATATTATAATAGCATCACATCCAGTTTGACATACACCGTTGCTCATAAATATGGAAAATTTTCCAATTTACCATTGATTTCCTCATTTTCAATGCCTTCTCAAATTTAATGAATGGAATATTAAGCAAATATTTCATTCTACGGAGGACAATAACTGTTCATGATTTTTGCAGTTTGAATTGCCTACAGCCTGTGGCTGAGGGAAATACATGCTGCAAAAATCATTGAAAGTGCAACAGGTATTGCCCAGGTATTGAAATACGCCGGACAATATGTCTTTTACATCCAATAATTGAGGGAGCTGTGAAATAAGCTATGATATTTTTGATTTATAACAATTTAAATGTGAGACGGGTCAGGGAAAATTAAAGAAACACACTTGTAACATTTTTCATTTCCCAGGAATTAATTCTGATAAAAGTTTCCTGGAATAAGTTTTCTAACCAGAAATTTTAGAATAATCATTGTTGAATACTTTCATTCAATTGAAACTTTTGTAATTTTTATAATAAAGACAATTACTGACTTTTGTGAAATGCCCAATATTCCATATTTATGAGCAACAGTGTATTTTTCTTACATAAAAAATGTGTCAAGACTAATTTTTCTGACATAAGGCTAATAAACATAGCATGTTAAATCAATCTCATTTTATCTGTTTAGATTAAAGTTAATCCATTAATGAAACGACAATAGAAAGAAATATGGATTTAATTTTCTGAGAGTGTACTTACGCAACTTCTGCAACGTGCGATGCATTCACATGAACAAGAATGTTTCTTATATTTTTGCATCTTGCTTATTGACAGGCAGTTTATGTTATTCATTATTCTTTTGATTTACATATCTCACACAGACACCATAGGGCAGGATGTGGTAGGATAATGTAAATTGATATCCTAAGGTAGAAACAGCTTCCCTTATTAATCTGACAGGAACTGGTTTCTTTATCCTGGCTAGAACCATAGACAGTTCAAGCCAGCACAGGCCTTTTATCGAGTTAGTATCACTCTAGTAATCAACTTCTCTTGTGTACTAGTTAGCATAAGCTGGATCCTGTCGCTGCAGGCTGGGATTGAACCAAGGACTTTGGCATCGGGAGTTGAGTGTGATAACCTTTACACCACAGAACCGAAGACAATGTTTTGAATTGTATTTTGACATATTTCCAAAAGTTATAATGCATGTAAAATATTCTTCAAATCGACTTATGATTGATTATAATAAATATATTCAAAAATCAGTAATTGTTGCAAATCAATGTATTTTTGAAATTACAACAATAATTTCAGACATAACTAATTTTCTGAATTCTGTTTCTCAAAATTATCAGCTTTTCTCCTTCAGTTTTTCAGATGGCATGTTCCTGTTCGCTTGGGGGTGGGGTGGGGCCCCGGGAACTGTAGGGCGTGGCACGTTAGGGACTCCAGGATGGGCAGGGCTGAATCCACCTTGTTGTTGGACTTGATGCTGCTGCATGAGATGGAACATCATCTGCTGGTGCTGATCCTGTAATATAAAACATTTGATTGGTTAGATTGATTATGGGTAATGGGATGCTGTACTACTGCATGAGATGTAACATCATCTGCTGGTGCTGATCCTGTAATATAAAACATTTGATTGGTTAGATTGATTATGGGTAATGGGATGCTGTACTACTTCATAAGATGGAACATCATCTGCTGGTGCTGATCCTGTAATATAAAACATTTGATTGGTTAGATTGATTATGGGTAATTGCATTGTATTTTGTTTACCACCAATGAAGGTGAGCAATACCTCTTGGGTATGTCCCATATATATACGGTCGTAATTTACGTAATTAACATGGAAGATAAACCCAGAAACCCCTCCTTGAAGAAGCACTGTGTTCTTTTATGTGCACTTATACATAGACATACAAGTACACACCACAGCCTTTTGTACGAGTTGTGGACCACTCAGTCAAACACCCTGAAGTACTTCACGCAAACAAGAAAATTTAGTCTTGCCTGAACCGGGGATCGAATCCGGGACCTTTTGCGTGAGAGGTACCTGTGCTACCGCTGAGCTACATGGGTGGACTGTAATGGGATGCTGTACTACTGCATGTGATATAACATCATCTGCTGGTGCTGATCCTCATGGGTAATGGAAAACTGACAAACAAGAAACCAATGTATTAATTTCATTTCTGATTCATCCGTCTTTCCGACCCCTGATAATGAGATATTGGTCACTTAAGGGCCAATGCATGAAATTTAGATCTTAAATAACTCTTAAATATTTTTAATTACTACAAATATGTACTTTATAAAACCAAATGACATGAACAAATCATTATGAATTAAAATGAATTTAGTTTAAATGTATACACTGGATGAAACGATACACACAGTGAATATGCCTCTTGAAAACGCCTTTTTTCGTTATAAGCATGGCCATTGAATATATCTTATTTTCATGTCGAATGTAATGTGTAGACCAATGAGAGAGTGGGGAACATAACAGTGATACAATAAACATACAGCTTTGGAGATAATTTGGCTAACTATTACTACCTCTATCTGCTAAGTCCAAACTTAATCTTTTTCTCTTCCCCATCAATTTAAAAAACAGATAGGTTTAAAATCAAAATCACCCTTGATGGACTATATGATGTCATTCAATTAATCCAACTAAAACGGCAACTCCACAGAGTAGCAAAATGCCTTTCATTTGAGTATAATAAAGTTATACTTCAGAAAGATCTCAAAATTAACGCAAACTTCCGTTGGCAGCCATTTTGAATTTTCTGAGGCACAAATCAGAAAAACAATACCATAATAATGATCTACCCTAAACTTTCTTCAATTTGAGTATAATATAGCCATACTTTGAAGAGATCAGAAAATTAATGCGAAATCTCACATAAGGCAGCCATTTTGAACTTTACGAGGCCCAAATTACAAAAACGATACAATATTTGCAATCTACTCTAAATTGCCTTTCATTTGAGTATAATAAAGCTATACTACAGAAAGATCTCAAAATGAACGCAAATTACTGTATTCCCGATCCCCCATACATGGCCCCTGGGGCTCATGGTGAAAATCTTGGAATATATATGAAATGGATAGATGTTGTGAATATACTATCAAATTTTCAAACAATAATATTTATTACTTTGGTTCAAAATGAATAACTTAATATTTTCATGAGAAATTCCTGCCATTTTTAAAGCAGCGGCCATCTTGGAATTTTTTTTTGTTGCGTACAACTATTAACCAATTTACATCTGTCCACCAAATATGAACAAAATCCCTCTTCTAATATTCGAATTATCATCCAGATGGATGGATGGATGGACGGAGGGCTTCACTATATCCCTACCAAACTTTGGTCATTGGGATAATAAAGTCCTTTAACTGATTCAAATGTGTCAATGATTCCACTATTTAAAGGATCAGCTTGATGAGATTATAAAGAAGAAGAGACTAAAATTTGACAATAAAAGGATGAACCATTCAGATGACAGTCAGTCTTAAATAAGTCAGTTTATATGACACTACAACAAAACAAAAACTTAATCGCTCGAGTGTCATGGGTAGAAAATACAAATTAAGTCGATCATTCCTTTTCTCTTTTAGCCTTGTCTAATAACTGGTCTCTCTATATGTACGTCAAAATGCCGCAAAATCAATTCCTTCCTGTAGTGAACACCTACCAACATTGAATGATTTTGTTGGCAAAAATGTTCACTATACACAACTACACAAGTTTTGCTATAGTTATTTCTTATACTGAGTCAATATTTTGAGATGTTCCCTATTAAGTAAGCGTATTCTTCAACAAGCTGTAAATGACACAAAATTACAGCATACATGCAAAACAACCTGAACATTGTAGCACATACTTGTTCATCAATTTTAGAGTCAACGAAAATAAAATGAAGATATTAATCATACAGTAAGGGAGGGAAAAATGATTATGCGATATCGGATAACAGAATAACAGACTTATTATGGATCGTGTCTTATCAAAATAAGATGGAATAAAATCTAGTTGAGGGATAATTTTGCAATTAAAGAGTGTTTACTTTCTAAATATTCAAGTGAACGTCAACTTAACATTCTTAAATTTTATTAGGGCGAGGGAGTCAAACCATAACAAACAATAATAACAAACAATAACAAAATAAGCCTCATTTTTCCACGACAGTTGATAATTAGACAGCATCCCTTAGTTATGAAATTGAGTTACAGGATGCCATAAAAGGAACAGCACAACTTCATTTTCTCAGAATTGGCTGGCGATTAATCAAGTGTCTCATAGCAGAAAACAATCAGAAGTCACATTGCATGTAGCACATACATAGTGTAAATAAAGAAATGGGATGAGCACTTGAGCTTAAGCGCTTAAGAGCAGACACTAACAAGTATTCCAGTAGAGAATTACTTCAGTTATAGAAATCGAGAGTTATGTGTAGCAAAAGAATATAAGCTAAAAGCATTGAAAGTACAAATGAAAAATTGCTCAATGATAACATGATCAATATAATGATATAATGATCAATAAATTCAATGAACAGATTAATTAATTAATTAATCAATTAATTAATGGATACAATGAACAGATCAATGGACACAATGAACAAATTAATGATACAATGATCAGATCAATGGATACAATGAATAGATCAATGAACAGATTAATGGATACACCGAACAGATCAATAGATAAAATGAATGGACCAATGGATATAATAAACACATCAATGGATACAATACCCAAGAGCCCAATGAACAACAGTTATGGTACAATCAACAGCTCACTAAGCAATGGTTCAATCAATGACACAATAAATAGTGGTACAATCAATGACACAGAAATAATGTTTAAGTGGATTCCAGTACCACTTGCCATAACTCTAATGATCCTGGAGATGATTCTGGGGATACTGATTTGTTTCAGCAATGGGCTCGTTTTCATGATTTACGCCAAGTTTCGCAATCTAAGGACTGTGACCAACACCCTCATAGTAACACTCTCAATTGTTGACTTCATAACAGGTCTGACTGTGTGTTTCCTTCACGCAATCACAAACTATCTGCCATTCATCATCCACATAGAAGATAAGATCGATGGCTTATTGTGCTTTTTAAAGATCCTTGTGGTTACAACATCCATGTTAATGTCTCTAATGCATTTAACACTGATGATGATAGAGCGCTATTTGAGGACTGTATACCCCAACTGGCATGCTAGGTATATCACATTTAAAACAATCTGTGTGATAATTATCGTGGTGTGGATTTCCGAGCTCTTTATTGTATGCCTGCCGATGTTTATGGGTGCCTTCATAAGGAAACCATATGACATATGTCGAAGTGCAGCTGTATTTGATGAGACATTCCTAACAATACTGAAAATTCAAGTTGGTGTTATGCTCGCAATTAACATTGGTCTATTCATAGCAATGGCATACTATATAAGGAAAGTGAACTTAATTGTTGATATCGGCCAAACGGCTGGAGCTGAGAACAGCTTAACTTTAACTACATTAAAAAAAGACAGAGTCATCACCATGACAACATGTACAATTATGGCATTGTTCTGGATCAGTTGGGCCCAATACCTGTTTATCTCAACTCTCTTAGATATTGGACAGGATGGGCCCTTACTTTCATATTTGGTAATGGCAGTTTCTAGTAATGTGGCCCTTGGGAATTCAATGGCAAATCCTTGGATATATGCCTGGCGACACAAGGAGATAAAAACAGCCATGAAAAAGGTGATGACTTGTAATCTGAAGGAAGATGAACACAGGAATAATACTGTAGATAATCCTACTGTCCATGGAACTGACATGGCTGCAATGTCAATACATGATAACATGGTTGCTCTAGATCTTGAAGAAAGAGTTGAATGCTCGAAGATGTAGTGTTATTCAGATAAGGTGAATCCGTCTCATAAGTACATGATAACATAGTTGCTCTAGATATTGAAGAAAGAGTTGAATGCTCGAAGATGTAGTGTTATTCAGATAAGGTGAATCCGTCTCATAAGTACATGATAACATGGTTGCTCTAGATGTCGAAGAAAGAGTTGAATGCTCAAAGACGTAATATTATTCAGATAAGGTGAATCCGTCTCATAAGTACATGATAACATGGTTGCTCTAGATGTCGAAGAAAGAGTTGAATGCTCAAAGACGTAATATTATTCAGATAAGGTGAATCCGTCTCATAAGTACATGATAACATGGTTGCTCTAGATGTCGAAGAAAGAGTTGAATGCTCAAAGACGTAATATTATTCAGATAAGGTGAATCCGTCTCATAAGTACATGATAACATGGTTGCTCTAGATGTCGAAGAAAGAGTTGAATGCTCAAAGACGTAATATTATTCAGATAAGGTGAATCCGTCTCATAAGTACATGATAACATGGTTGCTCTAGATGTCGAAGAAAGAGTTGAATGCTCAAAGACGTAATATTATTCAGATAGGTGAATCCGTCTCATAAGTACATGATAACATGGTTGCT